TAAGGGCGACTTTCCTATACATATCCGTACATATGCGTCCTTATGGAAATCGGTAGTGTGGCGATTGGCGACGCGCGCGACATCTGTGTGGCGACCAAGTGGCGACTGTGGCGACACCTGGTGGCTGCTTTTCTGCTGTATGTAGGCATTGGGGTTTTGCCAGATGTGGTTCCTACTGCTACACCACTATGTTGACCCAATACTAGAAAAGTTATTTTGCTAGTAAAAGGCAAGCAAATTGAAAGTTGATTTATAAAATTGTTTAGAAATGATTACAAGATTAAAATAAAGAAATTTTGATTGAATAATTATTTAAATAATCAACCGTGAAACTATATTCTGGTAGGTTTAGTAGAAATAAGTCCGTGCAACCTTGTATTTAGGGCCTTGCTGCAGCCCATGTTGTGCTCACTGCTCTGATATTCGTCTGGCTCCCAGTTTGTGTACCTGTTTCGTCGTGACCTCGAGTCATAGCGACATCAAATGCTAATGTAAAGATGCATCAAGGGACCTTCCTTTGAGCCGATACGCTTCGTTGAAATCTTACCCCGCACGTGTTACATAACATCTTGTTTTGGGGAGCGGCTGATAGCTATACGAGTATAATGTTTGTATATGAATTATTGAAACACGTACCTTCATGTTTTATCGATGAATCAACAAAAGGGTAACACGGGTAGAGCGTCATTGATTTTTGCGATTGATATTCCCACTGCAACTGCGCAGTAGCGTTATTATGCTCTACAAGGGCGACAGCGGCATCATACTCTCGTGGAAGACACTTCCTCCTATTCATTATATGATGCTATTATTAGCCGCCTTATATAACCTGACTGGCCCCGTACGCTGCATGTGACCAGTAGGCTGCCTCGTCCCCGTACCACTTGAGACGTATTCCGTTATATAAAAGGTCGTCTAGGACACCAGCTGATTTTTCGGCTCTGCAATGGTCTTGTCGGCTCTGCAATGGTCTTGTCGACCGAAAGGGCCTAACCCAACAAAACAAACAAACAAACAAACCAGCTGATTATACACGCATTATCCTATACCGGGACAAATGATCAGCATCTGGTATCAGGATGAGTTATAAGGTTCGAATTTAGGCAGTCCGGTTATGAAACATGCACGGTGGTTTTATTTATATGGGTTTGAATGCTCGATATGCTGTATATAAGTACATCAATGATTTTTGATAGATTGATGCCGTATATTGAGATATTTCAGGTTAGATTGGTTCTTGAAGTCTAGTTCTTTGAATGATATTGTTATCCGTTCAATTTCTAGTTAAAGGAAAACATGATTGAAATAAAAAAGGGTAATGTTAAGTCCCTATGGCTGAGCATTATGCATTCTTTTACGTAATTTGCGGGTAAATACGTAAGGTCCTTATTACCTACAACATGTGGTGGCTTTCTCTTAAATGCAGTACAAGCACGTAGTTGTTTTAGAAATAAACGTTTCTTTTTCAGCTATTACACATTTCCCGACATTTATACAGAGGCGTCCGCAGCTTCGAAGCCTCTGTATTTTTTCAATGATTTTCGTATTCAAGGTATTGGTATGTATATGAAAACTGTTCTGTTCTGCTCGTCCAATTCCCTCCTAGAGCCTAGTTTTGTGGAGTCAACCATGACAAGGCAGCAGGTATTGTTCCCAGTCGGGAACACGTGACTGCTATTGTCACGTGTGACCAATACCACGTGACCGATTCAGTCACGTGTCGCGGGGAATTGCATGTCGACAAAAGTCACGTGGGAGGGCTACACGTGACGTGAAATGATTTGTTTCAATATTATTATTGTTGAAGGGCAGCTGAAAGAGGGATGTTTATCGTGAATGAAAACAGCAACAACAGCAAAACAAATCAATCATGTAGGTACCGGCGACAGGGCTGAACTCGATACAAATCTGTTTACGGTTGTATGTCTGTTTGTTAGTACCTAGGCCAACCTATAGGAGAGATATAAAGTAAATAGTGCTGTTTGGAAATCGGATCCTCGGATTTCCCATTTTGTCCAATGCTCAAGCAGAATAAGGTTTTGAACAAAGCCAGGTAGCTATGGATGAAATTGTACAATTATTTATAACACTCAAGCATTTTCATGTAGTATTCGTGTCCGACATGTATTTGTTAGTTAACAGCTCAGTTGTGTTGATAATGAGCAATTTGGACCATAAAAGGGCATTTGAAATAAATTAACATTTAATTATAGCTTCTAAAATTAGCACCACTATTTTCCATATCTAGTTTCCGGGCAGCTTTAGGACAAAGCCATGATTTGGACAGATTTTGAACAAAAAGGAGCCAGGATTTTGCACATTGGGGCGGACATTAGACGGGTCTTTTCTGAAACTTGCTGCACTATAATACACATAGAGCGATGTTAGAGACGTGATATAAAATATTTTTTCTCAATATGTTACTTGTTGATGTTCACGCTATATTTTAGTTTTGGAACTTAATCATTTCAAAAGCGCACCACATAAATTTCTTTCATTTTTTTTATCCCGATTTTATCAACTGCACACCAGTCATGTCCTATCGAGCAACCGTACCTTTGTTGAGGGAAATAACCTTGGAATATGTATTGCCTTAGTTGTATTATTATTGTATTGTATTAACATTAAATGTCCGTCCGTGTTCCCACAGTTTTTCAGGACATTTTAAACATAGTAGAGTTGTACACGGCAGTAATGTAAACACAAATTCTCACACAGATGTACACGGCAAGGTGCCAACGTACGGTAACATACACTGCATGGCGCACAGCAAGGCACAGAGTACACACTACACATTACACAGTATACGCGATCCGTGATACTATCCCTGAGCAAGTGAGCTGGTATGGTTCACGCGTTTTTGCACCTAAGTTTTTTCCTGAATTCTTTTTCTGACGCTGTTTGTGTAGTTTCTATTGGAAGTCGATTCCATTCAGTTGCGGCTCGGTACGGGAAAGATCGTTGTGTCATAGACAGACGCACTTTTGGAAGGTGGAGCCGATTGGTACATGCCAGGCGGGTCACTCGAGTGGTTATGTCTGATCTTTGGTGAAACATCTTTTTTAGAGCTTTGGGGGCGTCGCAGTTATTCAAAGCGCGAAATACTTTTAAACAATCACGCTCCTTGATGAGCTCTTCAATTGTTGGCCACTGAAGCGCACTTAGGGTGGGTGTAATGTGCTCATTGCGGCGTGTTCCGGTTACTACACGGGCTGCGAAGTTTATTACTTTCTGAACGCGAGATATTTGGTTTTTGCAGGCCCCACCCCAAACTGGCAAGCAGTACAATATCTGGGAAAAGACGTGTGCCTGGATAATCAGAATAAGAGCCTCAGCAGAAAAGTGACGCCGGAACCTGTTTAAGGACGCACTTGTCTTAAACCATTTTCGGGCAGTTACTTTTGCCGTGCGACATGTTCCATCGTAGCGCAAACATGTAGATGCTGTCTCTTTTTAGCGCCCCGAAATGCTGCACATTGCTTGCTTTCTTGTCAGTTATTCGCGAAAAGTGTCATACGTTATAAGATAGCAAGTCTTAGAAGTTGGCTATTACCTACATGAGCAGATTCGTTGAAAGCGGTCTGGCTGTTGGGATGCTAGAATTTTATCATAAAACTTGGCGAACATGACCACATGTCGGCCTACATCCTTTGGTTAAGGTGTGTGATATGATTTATTGTTGTTGCGCAGCTTCGCTTTTTTCACTTAAGTTGAATCAATATATTTGACATTTATTTTTTAAAGGTAAAATAACTGACACTTTGTTACCCTGTGTGCACCCTCTTTGTGAATAACCTTATTTACTTTTCCATGGACACTGGCCTTTTTCTAATTGCATTTATTCATTGTGAGTCATATGCTGCGTTGCCTGATCCACAGAGCTGAAAGTGACTGCCCAAAAATAGATTTTTTCATGCAACTCATGATCTCTGGGAAGCATCAGCTTACATAAGACCATTCACGATTTGTTTACCTTTACGAAAACACTCACATCGGAACTTTGCATTCCAGTCACGGTCCACATTGTCTGGGCTCGACTAAATGATCGGGTACCTAGCATTAGTTCTGTGTTCACAGCAAACTGCACCAGGTTTTCGTGCTTCAGTTCATTCCGATCGTGGGCCTGTCGGCTGCTTTTGCCCTGTTCACATTGTTTACCGGATTGGTGAATCGCTTACTTGGCTTGTTTACCTTGCCTAGCTGCAGCGAATGAGGACTTTCTCAGTGTAATGATAGCTAACGACAAGACGGTTCATGACAGCCTGCTTACCAGATTGATGGTTCGGCCCATCGTCCCCTCGGTCGCGACGTTGCTTTATTTATTTCACTTGTTGTTTATGCCGCTACACAGCTCATGAATGTAACTTTCCTTGTGAAGCCGTTTCTGCAAACCTCCTTTCACATAGAAGGAGTCGTGTTTTTCATCAACTATTGCTTCGCCATTCCCTAGTTGCATATTCTGCGTTAATCGCTGTTCTTTTCCGCACCTTACGGTATCTTCACGATGGTGGTGCATACTGGCTGGAACTTGTTGACCGTGTGCAATGCTGCTTTTTGTACCTGTTGTAACCTGTTCTAACGGTAACTGTTACATCTGAGTGTTCCCTGACCTTGTACCGAGCCTGACCTAACCTGCCCCTGCCCCTGGCCTGACCCTAACCCGGGCCTTACTCTGCCCCTGACTCTGACCTGATTTGAGCCCGTTCTGCCCCTGACCTGACCCCGGCCTGACCCTGACCCGACCTTGACCTGACTTGACCATGACTGAAACGGAATGAATGAAACGGAAACTGTTCCGCCCCTAACCTGACCCTGACCTCGATCCTGACCTAACCCTCACCCTGACCTGTACCTGGCCTTACCCTGGCGGCTGACCTGACCATGACCCTAACCTGGACCCGACCCTGACTTACCCCTGACCTGTACCTGGCCTTACCCTCACGGCTGACCTGACCTGATCATGAACCTGACGCTCACTTGCTGTTCTGCTCTCCAGATCGCCTGTTTCCTCAGTGAGCCAGTGATGACTGTACCGGGTATCGTGATTCCGCCGCCCGGGTGGCTGCGGAAAATACACGAGTAAGTACTTAAAAATGAGTTGATCTTTAGATACGATATCAAATTCCTAGTTAATGTTCATGCCGCTGCTCAATGAACAGGTCAGCAATGACTGGATGGGATTGTTGTGTAGGGCCTACGAGTGATAGTGTATGGTGTGCTGTGATCGTTTGTTTATCCTTATTGTTTTAGTTCGTTCTGATGCCGTGCCTATTTCTGTCATCCAGCTCTTTTGACGTCGTACCCACCTTATTCCCAACTCTTTTGACGTCGTACCCTCCTTATTCCCAACTCTTTTGGCGTCATACCCACCTTATTCCCAACTCTTTTGACGTCATTTCCACTTTCAGCTGACACCGCTACCACCTCTATTGACGCTTTTCTCATCTTTGTTAACGCCGTCCACGCCTCTAATGATGATTTCCTGACCTCTATTGGGTCCGCTCCCACCTCCATTGACGCCGTTCCCACCTCTACCCTACCTCTATTGACGCCTTGCCCACCCCTTTTGAAGCTTTTTCCACCTTCATTGACGCTTTGCCCACCTCTGTTGACGCCTCGCCCACCCCTATTGACGCTTATTTCACCTCTATTGAGTCTGTTCCCACCTCTATTGACTCCTTTTCACCTCTATTGACGCCCTGCCCACCTCTATTGACGCCGTTCTTACCTCTATCCCACCTCTATTGACGCCTCGCCCACCCTTATTGACGCCTTTCCCACCTCTATTGACGTCGTTCCCACCTCTATCTCACCTCTATTGACGCTTATTCCACCTCTTTTGAGTCTGTTCTCACCTCTATTGACGCCTTTTCCGCCTCTATAGACGCCGTGCCCACCTCTATTGACGCATTGCCCACCTTTATCCCACCTCTATTGACGCCTTGCCCACCTCTATTCCGCAGCTACATGCACAGTCTGGGCGCGCTGGTGATTTCTGATGAGATGTGCACTGCTCTGGGACGGAACGGAAAGTCGTTCTGGGGCTTCCAGGGCGAGGACGGCGATCCCGACTTCATCTGCTGTGGAAAGCCCATTGGTAAGATCAGCACTATTGACGAGGGAAAAACTACCCAAGTAACCGAGAAAAAAATATCATGGGAACTCTATTGATCAGGGAAATATTACCGAAATTATAAAATAAACTGACACACACATCGGTAGGAGAAACTTCATTGATGAGGGAAATGTTACCGAAGTATATCGATGGAATTATGTAAAGAGTTGTAATCGTCACGTAACATGTTGAAATGTTTTTAATGTCAATATGTAGGTAGATTACATGCATTCACACATCGACAATATCATTGAAAAATACCGGCCCGACTGATGTGTGCAGTATGCTTCAATTACAATTACAAAATGTATTCGGTGCCATGTGTGTAAAATTAGTAAGTACCTACACCGTCTGTTAGATGAGCCAATGGATAAATCCGAACATCTCTGCCATAGCGGCACCCCGACTCCTGAGACCGCTGAGACCTTTGGCTCAACTTTGGCTGAGATGTGATGCGAGCTTTATTGACTGTCGTTGCTAGGCAACGGTTACCCGATGGCTGCGGCTCTGACGCGGAAGGATCTTCTAAAATCCATCAATCAGCCCAGCCTATGGGAACAGGTGAGTGCCTCTCCGAAGGGAAAATAATATATTGTTTCCTGTTGGTAATGTATTGTGTTTCAGGATCTAATATGTAGTGTGTGTTTTCCCTATGGCTGTAACCCATGAATAGGACCAAAGATAACATGATAACATGATTCATGTTATCTATGATAGGACACATGAGCCCTACGCCATTTCATGTCCCTGAACCTGTCCTTGTATACATATTACATGCCCCTTTTTCTTCATCTTTTTTCAATACCATATCTACAGTACACTCCCGTCGCACTTCAGTATATCTCACTTTCCCAATAGATTCCCTACAGTCCCCTAAATGCTAGTTTCTCTCTTTGTTTCAAAAGAAGCCGTCTCCGATACACTGTCCGGTCTCCTCCACATCTCTCTCTCTCTCTCTCTCTCTCTCTCTCTCTCTCTCTCTCTCTCTCTCTCTCTCTCTCTCTCTCTCTCTCTCTCTCTCTCTCTCTCTCTCTCTCTCTCCCCCCTCCCTCCCCTCTTCTCCCCTCTCTCCCTTCCCTCCCTCTCTTCTCCCACGCTCCCTTCCCCTCCCCATTTATCATTACGTGTCGATATAACACTCCCCGTCCCATGGACAGGGCGCCCCTGAGAGCCTCAGTCATGTACCCCCTGACCTCTGTTCGTTCGCAGTAGGTTATGTAACTGACTGTGAACTTGACCACGCCGGCGGGTCTGCGGCGTCACTGACAAGACTTTACATTGTTTTATTTAAAGGGAGATAATGAGCTTTCTTTTTTCTTAAATAAAAATTACTCGACATCTATACTATTTCTACTGTAGTTTCTATAAAATATGAAAATTTCCTAGCACATTTTCGTATGTGAAAAAGGTTTTTATTTTTGCAAAAAAGAAGCAGTACGTACTTGTAACACCCACCGAAATGCGTTGTCCTTCTCTATAAAAAAGCCGCAGTATATGGCGCTTTTGTTTCAAACAGCGACGCTTGGGTTTTTGTTTATGTTATCGCCTTGTCGTTGCTTGGTTGTAAGGATTCTAATTTGAATTAGAGTTAATTCGGTTTAGAATTAATTAGATTCTAATTCGGGGGTACATAGTGCCTACTCTTCTTTGTTTCCAAGCGCCACAAATGAACCGCATGCGCCAGAAACGCAGCCAAATCTTGCGATTGCGACTACGAAATTCATTATTTTGGCCTCAGAGCCTGAAGCGAAAAATACAAGCATATTTATTTCAAAAAGACTTCAGGTTTGTCGAACGGTGTTATGAGAATTTTGATAACAGTACTGCATAAGTTTTTCAGTGATGCCGCAAAAGTGTTGTATCTATCTTCTTTTATTGTGCAGTCGGCGGGACCGATTCAAAATTGAGTCGTTGCTACTAAAATAGCAGCATATGGCGACAGATGATGAACAGGAAAAATAGTTGCGTAAATTTAGACATAAACCACCCCCAAACCATGAATATCTTTTGAAGGCACTATAGACGACCATTAACTAACTAGATGTGATGAAGATCAAATGCAAGGAATACGCTCATTTTACAAAATTACATGCAAGTACCAAAAAGTGATGTAAGTACTTATTCAACGGTCATTTTCAGCGCTCCCCGCTAACGTGACTTCAAGTTGAGATATTTGCGGCAAGGTACCGAATTGAGCAAAATGGTTTTAATTTACATTATAACTTGTTGTGTTTTGTCAGAAAATGGTCCTAACTCAGATTTTGTGGAAAAAGGTCATAATCTCCCTTTAATAGTTTGATTGTTTAGTTTGGTTATTTAGGGAAATGTGCAGGACAGAAGTTTGGAGACTTCTTGGTGAATGCATTTGGAGTAGATGGTAATTGATGTTGCCGTTGCATATGAAGTTATTTATTGTTTTATTCATTAGTTTGGTGGTGGTATATTTACAGTGCTAATTGAAACGGAAACTGCCGAACTTTGCTGTTGCATTATTCATGACACCGACCTCAGGTGGTACGAGGAGGCATATTAGCCGCATGAATACTTTTTGATGTTTCATTTATTATTTTCCCTGTGAATTCATCAAGGCTTGTTTCACACAGATGTTGAGGAATTTAACTGCTATTTTAAGCACATGTCCAAGATTTAATGTGAAAAGAATGAATACATTTCACGCTAACTCTACAGAGGTATATATTGCGGCGTTTAGACATTTATTTAATAATTATCACTAGTAGAGTCGCAAACGCTGATTGGTCCCGACTGTACGTGACGATATGCTCTGAAAATTACCGAGTGCACATAGTACGGAAATGAAGGCATAAAAACAGACAGACACTTTACATGCAGAGTTCATATATGTAGACTGACAAAGCAGCGGAGGCAAGCAGGCCTAAAGCATGCCAGCAGCATGTGCCTGCTAGATTAGTCTGTTTACTTCCTTGTTAAACATTTCGGCATTCGTGACTTGTATTGTCGATTTCTTAATTCATTCAACATTCCGTTATAAATAGGTAGCTTGTCTGAAAAGAATACCTGTTCATGTTCTATGTAACACGATCTATAAAAGACATTAGCGCCTGACACGTGATCACGAAAGCACCATTTGGAAATGATAACTTCGATGCAGGACACGCGGTCAACTACACAGCAACCTCTCGAGCTTCGCTCCGGCAGTTTCTCATGACATTTTCAAGCCATCAACAATGATATTGTATGGAATAACATTCTCTATTGACTACAGAATGATGCTTCACTTCCCACAGGAAACAGATAGATGCCTGTGATGGTAGGCTGAGTCGCATAACACAGGCTGTGTAACGGCCTGACTACACTGTGCGTTTTCTGCGTGCGTCTTTGCGGGTTTGCGTTTTTTGCGTAATATCGTTCTAGAAAAATGACGATATTACGCTTTTGTGATGTTTTTATATAATTTTTTTGTTAATATACGAGTTACTATAATTTTTGCATACAATTAATGTAAAATTTATATTATTGATAACTTTTTTCTAGAACGATATTACAAAAAAACGCAAACCCGCAAAAAACACACGCAGAAAAGTGTAGCCAGGCCTTTACACAGCCTCTCCCGGTGACCCTCAGCTCATCATAAACACGCTCGATTGCATGCTTAACGACACAACCTACCGTTCCAGTCAACTGATAGCTTCTGAAGAGTGGAACATCGCTTTTTAGTCAGTTTTGCACGTTGGCAGGCCGACTCACTGTTTTATATAACAGTAGCGATTTCAGGCATCCTCTTGTGACTATTTTTATCAGAATTATCACATGATCCCCGTTTTTTTTTTTTTTTTTGCAGTTGGCCGTGCCTCCCTGCCTGCTTTCATGTCCGCTTTGTCATTCCTTGTTATCGGATTATCTGTACTGCAATCATTCTAGGCATACCTGAGGATCATATCACGACACGAAAGGGTGGGAAAGGGAATGTGATATGAAACGGTGAATGTGGCGGCTGTAGGATGTTGTTAAACATCACTAACGATGGGTACGGGCAGCCTTTTCATATATTATTGGAGCTGGCTATTGCTGTATTAGGGGAGGGGAAAGAAAGAATAGGAATTAAGAGAGAGGGTGAGAGAGAGAGAGAGAGAGAGAGAGAGAGAGAGAGAGAGAGAGAGAGAGAGAGAGAGAGAGGTAGACAGAGAGGAGGAGGAGGAGGAGGAGGAGAAGGAGGACCGAGGAGGAGGAGGAGGCAATGTGAAAGAGCGGGCATTGTTGTGTAATGCGTGGCGCGAGCCTTAGAACAATAAAAAGCTTCCTAAACTTTCGGAAGAGGAGGATCTTTATTTCAATCAATATCTTCCTCGGTTACTTCTACGTCTTTTTTAGCCTGAATTCGCCGTCATATATACCAAAAAAAAAAAAGAGAACACCATGATCATTTATGATGGTTTCCGTCTGCGTCTCACCAGGATTACACTCGGTATAAACCGTTTCACAGACGTTCATTCCGGGACTCACGAGATTTTTTTTATTAACCTGACATCTATCGTTTGTTTTTTACAACTTACAGTACCGACCGTCGCCGCTGGCCTGCGCCATTGGTACCACCGTGCTGCGTGTTCTGGAGCAGGAGGACCTAACGGTGCGCGCCAGGGATGTCGGGGCGTTTCTGAAACGGCACCTGCTGGCTCTGAAAGCCAAACACAGCTGTGTTGGTGAGAATCTTTTTGTTGTTGTTGTTTTTGTTGTTAATGTTGTTGTTGTTCTAATTGTTGCTGTTGTTTGTGCTATGAAAAGTCGAAACAGTGTCACATCAGATGCCGATCAACATGTGATGATGACTGCTCTTTTATATAAGCCACTAATATAGCTGTATATACCACAGCTGTAATATAAGCCACTAAACGTCAAACAGTTCATTACCTGCTTAGTTACCTTGCGCCTGCCCTCATTCGTTTTGTTTTGTGATTGACGGACATTCCTCTCGTCACTTCTCGTTAGTCACCTGTTTTTTTAATTGGTCAATATCTGTCTGCAGTGAGACGTCTTGTTTTTTGATTGGCTGTCTCGTGTCTGCCCTCAGACGTGTCGTGGTCTGATTGGCTGTCACACGTTTGCCCCCAGGCGATGTACGCGGCGAAGGCCTGCTGATTGGCGTGGACATTGTCACAGTCAGCGACCGAAAACCCGACCGGCAGGCCTGTCAGTGTGTCGTCTATAGGTGAGAGGTATAATTGTACGCTATGCACTATGCACTATACAGGTTGTCGTCTATAGGTTAGCTGTAGGTACAGCCCTCAGCAGACTGCGTGGTAGGTATTCTTTTTCGAAAAAAAAAAACGGTAATAGCTCAAAGACTATGTTACCAGTCGGTCGGAACTCACTGCACATAGATGCGCCATGCTACACTCCTTCCATTGGGTCTATCACTAAACAAAGTATATGCTTTGTAGTTTGTGTGGCAACAAAATGCAAAAGTTTGTTTGGGGGCAAATATAAACTTTTGGGTTTTGTTGCCAAACTGGATGGAAAATGAATACGATGGTAATGCCAATCTAAGGTGCGGAGTCTCGCGTGTCTTGCTGTTACGATTTCCGAGTGACCGATAGCATAGTATCCGCGTTATTCTCGGTTTTGTCCAAAAAAGAATACCTACCACGCAGTTTGCAGAGTGCTGTACCCAAGATACCTATAAGGCCGCGTTCCCACTACGACCGTTCAACATCGTAAATTGCAAGAACGGGAGAAAACGGACGAGATCGTTGATCTAGAGACTTTTCTAAAAAAGTTGAACACTTCCCTAGATCTGGTATACGGGGCAAGATGGGGAAACATCGTGAGACATCGGCAAACGGCTTGGACAAAGCCGGTTGAGAGGAGCGATGATGAAGGAGGGATCGGCACAATAAGCTATTGTAAAAAAAAAGTTCAGAATATAGGTAGTTGACGTGGTAAAAGATCCCATGCAACTGAATGAATGATAAAATTAGAAAAAACTTAAAAGTTATCAGCGTGTTGAAAGTACGCGAGCATGAGAAAATCGATCAACAATGTCAACGAAAAGCATTCACAGCTGTGATAACGACAACCTATTGACTTTTGAAGAGAAAATGTGTGCAGTTGATATAACTCATTGTGGTTTTGCTGTGAATACCTTCGAGAAGCTGTAACCGATAAATTGCAAGTTCCGATGATTTCTTAACAGTTTATTGTGGCAATCCTCGATAAAACATCTAGTTAGTTGAAGCAGGCTGCAATGCAACTGAACTTGCCGACACAGGTTCAGCGATTTAGGTATACGAGTACAAGTATATGGAGCCGGCATTCCAACTTACAGCAGTGTCACAGCTCATGTCACCATCATCATGTGACTACGCCATCTCGTCAGGCGATGCTAGAATTGTATAAAGGCAATTATACTAATATCAACTGAACAGACGAGAAACACTTAAGAGCTCAGCAAGGAAACTGACCGTGTGCTCAATGAAGATAAACGAGTGTATTCGAGCACAACGGTTCACAGCAGATGGTGGCAACTGTCGACGTTTGTCTGACTCTGCAGTGTGGCGTGGCATTACAATGCAGCGGTCTTCCAGAGGAGAGCTTGGCCTAGGCGTTTGAGATCCCAAGCCTGTCTACCTGAATCTACGATGCAACTCTTGGTAGCTGGCGCGCAACCGGGTGGCTACTTTATCTATCTCCGAGATTCTGAGTTCCGGAGCGGTGCTACAAAAAGAGGGAGATGAAGTGCAAGTCGCACCTGTTCTGACATAGCGAGGATCATTCGCTCAAGAGTAGCATGCGATGTGCATAACAAGGACCAGACAGCCCAATGACAATCACATGCTTCGCATGTGGTCGTCCCAATCACATGGCGCGGTCCAGATGGCCTTGATCCAGAAGACACTGATTGTTTGAGCCTCGAATCAAGGCCCTCAGTGACGATCCGACGGCGGAAGCTGCGTGTGTTGAACGAGGAGTGGCCGCCCGTTTGAGGTCATAAGTGAGCGACGACGCCGGTGGCCACGATTGTCGGAAACTCTGCCTTTAGTTTCACAAGAGCAAGTGCTGCTACAGCTATGTATCACTGTTAGATGATGTAAATAAACGTTTGTTATTTGCGCCGCATTTGCAGTGGCATGACATTATTTGTAAGATTCTTATTTTCCAGGCGCTGATGGTAGGTAAATGAATAAATTGCACTAGACCTTCGGTAAACCTGCCGAAAAGTTGTTATTTACCGCCACTTAGCGCTCGCCTACATTTGCATATGTATATAATTAGAGTTATATAGCCTTTATCCGCAAAAATGCACCACCTTTCATGCCTTGCTGCTTGTCTTCTCACTTTGAATATCAAGAAACTTCCCAAAAAGGGCTTCCTGCTCTATGCACTGCCTAAAAATGCTTATTAGTGTCATTTAATATCTGCACAAACCTTCAAGAACGTTCAAAAAGTTGAACACTGTTCAACTTTTTGGCGACCTCACCAACCAACCAACACGGGAAGCAAACTTTCAAAACCTTACAAATGTCTCCATCCGAAAACACGTGTCAAATACCCGGTTCCCACCACCACCGGCAGAGATCGTAAAAATGCATGCTGTGATTTTGCCGATCTTGCCGGTTTTCTCCCGTTATTTCACTTTACGATGTTGAACGGTCGTAGTGGGAACCCGGCATAAGAAACAGGTAGATCCGATGTTTGAAAGTAAAGCCCCAGTCACAAATTTGACGCACCTGTGACATTTTCTGACTTCCACGTGACTATTGTATTAACTTTTGTGTTTTGCGATGTTTTGACCTTATTTAAAGTACTGAAAGCTGAAAATGTATGATTAATCTTGTTTAAAGCAGCATATTAATAATTATGTTTGTAAATTATCGATAAGCTGCTTATAGCAGGTCACGTGATTGCTACCAGATTATGTGCTCAGAAAGCATCTTTTCAACTTCGATTTTGAACAATTTTTACCTCCTTTGAGGCCAAATGATGGACGGTTTGAGGCACACGATGAAATGCTGAATCTATTGATGCCAAAATTTGTTCGTTTTTTTTTTTGCATTTTTAGACTAGTATATCCTGGCTCAAACTTTGACCAGTTTGTGTGTAAAACCTATGGTGAAGGGAAAACTTCACGCCCAGCAGGCGTCATTACAGTGCTGCCAAATCGTGTTTGGTGGGGGTCGGCTGTACCTACCTTTATTTTTTTTTTTCTATGCCGTACCTACACTCGTCTGTAACACACAGACGACACACAGACAGTGTGTCGTCTGTAAGTAATATTCCACATTCCTAGCAACCAGATTTGTCCTGAAGTCAAGCGACCGTTTTCGTGAATACCTACCGGGCCATCAAGGCTGGAGAGATATCCCAGGTAAATATGTCATCGTCTCATCTTATGATGATTTTCTAACACATACAGCGTCAGTATTCATCAGCACGACGCCGTGAGAAATACGGATCTTCTGACACTTATTGGCTTAGCACCATGCAGTCAAAACCAATTGAATACGTGTTGCCAGTTCCTTCGAACCCGACATGTCTATTTTATCAAGTTAAATAGGACGTGACTTTGTAAAGCATGCCACCAACCACCACTTTGCATTTACTGTGGCATGAGTGTCCTGCATTTGAAATCAGTCATTGAGATTCAACGCCCCGTCGTGAATCTATCCGGGTGGGAAATGTGACTGTTAAGCTGTAAGCAACTTCATCTGCGTTAAAAGCTTTGATCCTACTAATGTTTTGTGTTATTGATGTTTGTTACTGATGCTAGTTAGGTACTTTTAGGTTCACCTTTTCCTGTTTAATATTTGATTTGTGACGAAATGGTAAAATGACTAAGAACATATTGCGCTGAAGCTTTGAATTAAATCCGCTCATAGGGACACTTGATGCGCTAATCTTAAATCTACTGCCTGTAGCTAGCCGAAACGACGAATGGACGACCTTTCGCTGTCTTCTTACTGCCTCGTCCCCCGTCTCCCTCGCTCCCTCTCCCCCTCTCTTCCTCTCTCCACCAGACTGAAGGAGGAGGAGCGGATCATCGCCGCCTCGGAGGGCGAGCACCTGAACGTGTTGTACATCACGCCGCCGCTCTGCTTTTCTGAGGAAAACGCCAGGAGCCTGGTGGCCGCGCTGGACAGGGTGCTGACATATATGGAGGCAAACGGCACCGACATCAACTTCAGGTGAGGGGGAGAACGTGGGAGGCGGGATGGGTGCCAGAGATAGTGATGTCAATTACGGAAAATCAGAATACCGATACCAAACCAAATACCAACAAAAACCGTGGAGAAATACCGAAGCCAAACCAACTTGGGAACATGACGAAAATACCAACTTGTTGCCAATTTCTTAGCCTCTTAAACATTAGCGAGGGTTCATGATACCAACAAAATACCAAACACATTAGGTCTTGAAATACCAAATACCGAGTTGGTATCGGTTTGGTATCGGTACCTATACCAAAAAGTTGATATCCGATTGACATCTCTAGTGAGAGATGAAGGGTGAGAGAAAATAGGAGGGAAAGTTAGAGGGGGGGAGTCAATGATTGACTTTGTAGGTACTGTGAAAACTTGGCAGACGAGTTAAGTCAATGTAAAAAAATGAGGAGGAAAAAATGGCATAGTGGTGCGATTTGAAACAACCCGCTGGATGTGACGTAGTTGTTCTACGCGTAGACGAGGTTCTATATTAGATTGTACAACTAAGCAGAGCTGGGCCACGGGCCCGGATAGCTCAGTTGGTAGAGCGTTAGGCTTTTAACCTAACGGTCCAGGGTTCGAGTCCCTGTTCGGGCGTGCTTTTCGTTTTGGGACAGCGATCATATTATCGTCCCCCCCCCCCCCAACGACCCTCAGTTACGTCGGTCCCATCGGCGCTTAGCTTCGCTATGAATCTAACAGGTTAAATCTGTTGATTGTCCAATTTTCGGGACATTCACGAGGTCTGTCTTAATAGCTCGAAAAGCTTTCATACCATCTGCTGCTAACGTCTCAACGATAATGACAACTCTCCAGCCATTTTTAACTGAACGGTTCGACAACAGAACCCTAACATTTGTACTCATTATTTAACAACAAGCTGTTCCTTATCGCTCTTTTCGCCTTCATTCACAGCTCGCTGGGTGCTAGTCTGCTGGAACCCGAGACAGAACCGGTCGACTTAGCCACCTATGAAGACGTAGACTGAAAGCCGCCGACACGCGAGCAACCATCTGCGCTCTGTGAATCAGCCCAGAGATGCAGTGTTTTCTCTCCATCTACAGACTATCTCGGATGAAACTTGAAACTTTTCTAGGATGAAATGAAATGGTATATTCTTGGAAAAGAAGGGTCGCTGGACGCCCAAGAAGCGAATCTCAACCGCGTGGAGTATGGAAAGGTGTATTTATAGCGGATAACATCTCTCGATATTAGGCTAACCATGTCCGTATTTTGGTGAATAACTTTGTATGTTACACCGCTGGGCGGAGGAGCTGTGTTTTATTCCATAAAAGTGATGCTGCGGTAAAGGTCACGAGCAGATGACGTCACATGTTATGTAGTGACATCGGTGTGACATTCGGATGACTCAATTTTCCTAGCTCGAAGGCAAGGCCAGTTGATGAAAAGCGTCACTTTATGATTGCTTTGTGTTTTTCCGCTTGAAGCAGTTGTCCGTCAGGATTGGTAAGTGTGCTGTTTGGATGTGGTTCAGTTTTCCACCATTGGAAGCTGTTATTGTTCAGGGTTAACCCGCGCCCTGGTGTGGGTCTGAGCCACCTTCGCCCTGGTGGGGGGGGGGGCCAAAATGACCCCCCCCCCGTCTAACTCGAAAACGAAGAGGGCTAGGAAGACGCGGAAAAAAGCAAACGAAAGCCCATAACAAGTACGTTCGAAAGTATTTCAGTCATTTTTTCGCTAAGGTCAATATTGAGGTCGCTAGAGGTCATCATAGGTCAAATTTCAGTGTTTTCGGTGTTGCCGGACATATTCCGCTGTAGCTCGGAAACTAGAAGAGCTAGAGAGCCGCGGAAAAAAGCAATCGATAGCTCTTTTCAAGCTCTTTCGCCAAGGTTCGTCAGATTTGACCTCAGCTCAACGGTTTGGCCCACAGAGGTCATGCAAGGTCAACTTGGCAAATTTCGTTGAAAATGTTTTTAACTATAGCATGCATTCACGAGAAAATAGAGAAACGATTCATGCACCATCGTGCTTGGCTCGTCGAGACGCGTCGAATGATATATAGTTTGACCTCGAAAGGTCATTTTGAAAATTTGACCTCAGGTCAAGGTCATGACCTTACCGAAATAGGTCATGCTGCATATCATTCGATCCGCATTGACGAGACAAACACGATAAACGTCGAACGGAGTCTCTATCTCTATTCAATAACAAGTAAGTGCAGAAAAACCGCTGGTGACCTCTGGTGACCAGGGAGATGACCTAGCGTGACCTCAGCGAGGTCACAAGCAAATGGTTTCACATGGGCTGTGATTTGCTGACCCAAGACACTTCAATAACGAAATATAGGAACAATCACGCCCGATTTAGCTGAAAAACAACTACTTTTCGATTCTCCCATTGACTTATAATGGGGAGCAGCGATGACCTGACCTGACCTTAGGTCACATTTATAAAAAATCCGAGATAGCCATTTTGTAGAGCTGGGTGACATCTTCAAGTACTGTAAATTTTACATCGATCGGATAAAAGCTGTGCCTTTGAGAGAGCTTTGAACTTTTTTAGAGGTGGTGTCAGTTTTGGTGACCTTGTGACCTGACCTGACCTGACCCGAACCCCCCAAAAAAGGACATGATGTAAAAATGTTGAATAAACAGCTATACAAAGTTTCAGGGCGCTAACTCAAGTGGTTTCTGAGTTATCGCTGAAAAACCACAGGGGGGGGGCCAAAATGGCCCCCCCCCCCACCAGGGCGAAGGTTAAGATCGCAACGCGACTTTCTTTATTTCTTGATATTAGCTCATGTTAGCAATGATTCAATGTGCTCTGGAATGCTTAAAGGGACCCTCCCACCTTTAAAAAAGTTTATGAATTGGCATGAAAGTGATGTCGCTCGGTTCAGAAAGAGCGAAAACGAATATCTACCAAATTTCACCGAAAAATATTCACCGGTTTTCAAGATATTAGACTTTTACTTTTGTTTACTTTTTGGGATCTCCGCTGTTCCTAGCGACTTTATTTAAAAGTGCGGCATTTGTTGCGCGCAACGCAGCATATACCACCGCGTGCTACAAAACGTTTTAGTCAAACATTTAACGGACGTTCGAAAGCCTGATGACGTCATCAGATTTAAGTGCCTATACAAATACATTGTGGCACTTATTTGCACAGATGTCAAAATCAAACTCAAATTTCTTTGCGATGAAGTAATTGCTGGAGAAACGGTTTTCACGGCACTGATTTTCAAAGAACGTCCATCAAGATGGCTATCTCAACTCAAATCTAATGTTAAGGTGGGACAGTCCCTTTAATCCAACGGCGTTTTGTATTTTGCTATTTCCGTATACTTTGTGAGGAAGCCTGCTTATTTTCGTGCATTCTTTCGTTCTGAATTAGGAAGAAAAACGATAAGCTAAAACATAATTTCGAATTTTGTTTGGTGAAATTGAGTTGATAAAATACCGCTTTTCGAAAATACTCTCAAAACAACATACTTTTAAGACGTCAAATTAGGAACAGAGTTTTTGGAGCTTCTTTCTTCTAGATATATCTCTGAACCGTGACTGAATTTCCCATGTGTTCATTGTCATTGTTTACTTGACGACGCTGTCACAGGCCATTGCAGCCGGATAATGTAAGACATGTGCTTCCCTTTCATTACCTGATACCTGCACAAAAAAAACTGTGTTTTGGCGATCTAACGACGCACGGTGTATCCTCAAACCTTTTCTACACTTGAAAAATAACTGATGTCGCGGTGTTGTTTGTCTAATCGTGCTCAATGTCATCATATAATGTCAACCCAGGTCCACTGTCTCTGCTGTTTCATGTCGATTTTTTTTCGGTTCTATTAGGTGCCACGCCGGTCGGTGATAAGTATACTTTTTATGTTATTTCGTAATTACTTTGTATTCTGTCCATGTCACTTTTGATTGATGTACCAGTGTTTCTACAGTGTGGTTTTCTTTTCCAACCGAAATATCGATATTTGTTGTTTGATGTTAGAAATAATTACTTGTCAAATGTTGATTCTCATCTTACCATTTGTCATTTTGTGGAGTTATTACTAGAGATGTCAATCGGATATTAACTTTTTGGTACACCGATACCAAACCGATACCACCTTGTTATTTGGTATTTCAAGGCGAGTGCATTTGGTGTTTTGTTGGTATTATGACTCCTCACTATGTAATGTAAAAGAGGCTGAGAATTTGGTAAAAAGTTGGTATTTTCCTCATATTCCCAAGTCGGTTTGATTTCGGTATTTTTCAATGGATGTTGCTGGTATTTGGTTTGGTATCGGTATCACGATTTTCCGCAATTGACATCACTAGTTATTACTCGTCTGCTAAATGTCATCCTTTATGGGCCAAAAAAGCAACTGTGGATGTCTTCTGTCTATTCCAAATGTAGGTAGGTACCCGCGAAAAGTCGGATTCTTAAAAGCAATCAAGTTAAGAGATCAATGCAGCATACTTGGAACGAAATAGCGCCATGGACTTCATTCAAGACGACCCTGGTTGTGTCTTAAATGTTTTGTTTAGACACCCAGTAGTTCGTATAGTACTTAACATAGTCGCACACCAGTGGCAATGTATGTTGTCTGTCTACATAGCGAAATAGTGAAGAGCACAGCTGTACTGTTGAGATAGAGACCCCCTAATTTAGACGTGGAGAGACAATGTTTCAGGGACATCAGTGATAGACGACTGTGCGATGTGGAGTGGTTGTGGTTTTGGGTGTGATTTGATGTGTGAGCGCACGATGTTTAGGATGTACTTCGATGTAGGAGTGCGTGTTGTGCGAGTATGGAGTGTTTGTTCTTATGTTTGTGTTCGGGACAATACAGAATAGGTGTCACATGTTGCATTGAATGTCTGCTTGTTGGACTGGCAGCGCCCCTTTCTTACGTCATGTTACGTTATTATACTAAGCAGTAAGCTGTCAATCGTTACGAGCACCGAAGTCCGAACCAACTTCGTCCTGTTTTCTAGCGTTGGAGAGCTTCATTGTCCCTGAGACTCTATCCTCCTGTCTGCTATCATACCGTTATCGCATATCATCTACCTTAGAATGTGCGGTTTCGTGTAGTTTCTAAACCTGTCTTACTTATGGGAGTACTGCTACTTTTTCCGTCTTTCGCCGTTGTATCTATTTCCTGTGTCTTTTCGTTTTTTCGTGCCGTTTCGGTCATTCCGTCGGTCATTCTATCTAATTATTGCGCCATTCCGCCTTTTCTCAACGTCACCCTGTCTTCTTTCCGCCTCAGTCTGCGCCGGTCCGTCTATTTTATGTTTATTTTCTGGTCGGCACAACCAGCGGTCAGTCTAGGGGTGAACAGTTTCTGTCGGATGCCACCAGAGCCCTCGGCCTGGCGTCCCAGTGGGACGGGCGCGGGCGGGAGCCGACAGGGGCAGGCGCCAGGCAGAGGCGCCAGTCACATTGGCACAGCACGGCGCCCGTCACAGGCGGGAGGCAAACAACACGGCCGCGCGAGGGTCACACAAACACACTAGGGGCTATCCGCGGAGAACACTAAGGGCTGCCCGCGGCGCGCAGCATTGACTAGAGAGGCGGTCCACTGGCTAACAAGTCGGTTGGTAACATGTCGTTTACAGGATGGCCATATATCGAGGAAAAGACATTAGAAGGTGCTGTGAAGTCACCGAAACATCCTGTTTAGTACAGCGAAAACCAAAAGCCTCCGGTTTGGTTGCAAAAGAACGCATTTTCGACATCTAACGCACGGCAAAGGGTGAAGCAAGACGTATACTGAACAGGCAGTATTGACTGTTGAATCATTCCCGTGGCATCATCGTTATTTCCTAGACACAGCAACGGCTTTATTCTAAGTGTAGCGTGTTTTTCCCACAAGGCACTCGGCGCCGTTTAAGACGACCCTGTTTGCAAACACACACGAAAAGCTGCTCAAAAAAGGCCCTACCTTAGGAGCCAGAGGGATAGGCAGGTGGCTAAGGCTGGCATACCTTTTTCCCTGGCACTTCGGTTTAGACATCATTCCAAAATACTGGCCCAATAGGCATCCACTCCTTAGGCATGTGGGGCCCCCACTTCATGCCAACAGCACTCGCCAGGACGTTCATACACACGCATACACACTGTTGCGAAAACGCACGCACGTAAGCACTTTCTATAACAAACGCGACACACGCGGACTCTAGCGGACGGTTGAGGGCGAAAACACTCCTGGTTAGTCGACTAGTAACGATGGCAAATTCGCTGCCGAAAGCGCTCAGCACTTGGTGTTCACACCGCGAGTAGCGTTAGTTCTAACGCGTCTAGCATACGCCGGGGCGTACGCACGCACAGCATAGGTGCGCCACGCACTCATTTGCATGATACGCCGCGCACGCTGCATTCGTCGAATGCGCGACGTTTATACTCCGCGGGGCCTTAGAGGGCACGCTACATCGCACCGGAAGATCTTCATAAGCGATGTTCGGCGAGGGTAACGCACGTGCTAAGCGCTGAGATATTGAACCACGCAGCGTATACGATGCGTATCCGGCGTATGTAGCGTGCGCACTGTGTGTTCACCTCAACACACGTAGATCCACTCACGCATACACAGAGCCTCTTCATTGGCTCATTCAATCACACCAAGCAACGTTAGCTGCAAGCACAGGCTACCTGAACACACCATCTCCGTCGAAGGCACTCGGTAATGCCACTTCGTTGTTGTGAAACCTTAGGCACTTTTAAACTCAAAACAGCAACACGATCTTTTCTTTGTCTTCTTTTAAGGCGCCCTATTGTGAGGCGTTCGCGCCGCTGACTGGCGGCTAGGTAGAAATACACCACAGCAGGGTGTAGAGGTACACTGCAGCAGGGTGTAGAGATACACCGCAGCAGGGTGTAGAAGTACGCCGCAGCAGTGTGTAGAATTACATCCGGGCGTGGTGTTTGCAGAAGGGTCGGCCCTGCTTGGCGAAGAAGCTCTGCCCTTCCAGGTTGTTGCCGCATATCTGACGACGAAATAAAACGGTACTGTCAGAAAGCGATATAGTGATACATGACAGGTAGGTACGGCAGTTGTAGCAAACGCTAAATTGATCGTGACGGAAAAACTCCGGTTAGGAGCCACGACCAGGGCAAATAACATCATGCTAAAATTGGGGCGTATAACTGTTAGCTTGACGGGCGCTATTTATTTCGTTATCGCCAAGAATTATCCTGAATAAGTGCAAATACAACACGGTCACTGTGCAATTGGTGTGTGGGCATGCATAAACATCTCGTCACTGCGTTGTTGAACATTTAATTCAGACTGCATGAAGAATAGTTAAAAGCCTGAGTGACCGAGAACTTAGAAATAATTGCGTAAAAACGCATGATCCGCCCCTTGATCGATTGAACACACCATCGAATGCAGTCCCTGCGAAGCATCCGAAGAAAAAATCTTAAAAATTACGAGCTAACACTTGAGTTTATGCACTATATCCCTGAATGCAAAAGTGTTGAAACATTGTGCGGATATTATCGCATGCTTCTAGAAATCTAGACATTATAAATCTAGATTCACATACACTAATGTAGATATACTGGTGGTTATAATTGTATGATTACTATGTAGTATATCTAGAACAAAAAGGTGTTTTATATTATGGTAAACAAATCCATTGATGGGTTCACAGTTTACAAAGCTACGAAAAAAATAAGAAATTGTTTATTATCACGGATACTAAATGAGCACTAAAATAATCAAGTATGAGCTTGCAATTGTGTTTAGTGCACTTGGTAGCTTTTATTTTGACAGTTCGCCCAGACATTCATCCATTTTGCACTATATTTGGACTACCATTTATGTCATCTATATAGGGTGCGGCAAAAGTATTGATACCTTCCGTCTTTTTGTAATAACTCAATGCATTTCCAACATGCCCCCGAATATGACATTTCTGAGCGCGCCCTTGCGTACCCGCATCCTTCCCCGAGGCGGGGATTAGCTGAACAGCTGACCTCGACCCAGAGGGTCGCCGGCCGGGGTCATTATCCACCCGGTGGCCGCTGCAGTAGCCACGGCCGAACCATGAAGGTCAAACAATACAGTTTGGAGGCTCGCAGCAGCGCCATTGGCATGCTCCAAGCCGGCAAGACGCAGAGGGACGTTGCCTCACACTTTGGGGTCCCAGTCCTCACCATCAAACGCTGGTGGAAGAAGTTTAAGGAGGCAGGGAGCGTCGCAGATAGACCGCGGTCAGGGCGCCCTTCCAGCATCTCGACCGTCGCCAAGATCGTGATGAAGAAAGCGGCTGGAAAATCTGGCCACTCGGCGAGAAAGCTGTCCAAACAGCTCACTCGGAAGAAACATCCGGTGTCCGAGAGGACTGTCCGCCGGTACTGGAGGAACACCCTTGGACTGAAGGCCTACAAGATCCGCGTAAGGCCAAAATTAACGGAAAAACAGCGAGCACAGAGGCTTCAGTTTTGCAAGGAACGCAAGAACTGGACTGTGGAAGAGTGGAAACGGGTACTCTTCAGCGACGAGTCTCCCTTTCAACTCTTCCACCACCCAAACCGCCAGAACGAGCGAGTGTGGGCTGAGAACCCGGCTGAAGTCCCGAAGGCGTTCAGCGTCAAATTCCCGCCGAAACTGATGGTGTGGGGCATGATGTCCTACGAGGGACTGAGCCAGCTGCACGTGATCCCGCAGAAGACGTCGGTCAATGCCGAGTACTACGTGGAGCACATCCTCGAGGAAGTCTGCCTCCCTGCCATCAACAGGACGGCCACGACGGGCTCCGTCCTCACGCGCCGCATGGTCGAGCGCAGGTCGGACAGCATTTTCATGCAGGATGGCGCTCCAGCTCATCGGTCTGCCAGAGCGCAGAAGTGGTGCCGGGAGCACCTACCCAACTTCTGGGCTAAGGACACGTGGCCAGGGAACAGCCCTGACCTGAATCCAATTGAAGAGCTCTGGGGGATAATGCAGCAGGAGCTGGACAAGAAAAAACCTCCCAGCAACCTTGGACAGCTCGAGAAGGCGCTCAAGAGGACGTGGGCGAACATCAGCCCACAGACTCTGAAGAACCTGGTGGCCAGCATGCCCGCACGTCTCTCACTCTGTGTCCAGCTTCGTGGAGAATACATTGACCGCTGAAATGAAACTGTTGTTTTGATTTTACGGGAGGGAGGGAATGAATGGTAAGGTATCAAAACTTTTGCCGCACCCTGTAAAGCGTCTTACCTGCGCTCGGCTGGATCAGCCATTTTACAGACCGGTGTGGGACTTGCACACTGCCCGCCCAGCCTTCGCATAGAACTGGGCGCCATCCAGCGTGCACCGACACACCTATGAGGGCCCGCAGTAGAAGAAGAAACACAGCAGAAATACAGCAGAAACAGTCAGCGGTTAGCTAAAGGGGGGCGCCACCGGCGCAGAAGGTAGGGAAGTTTGATGAATATACAGCACAGCAAAAGCACGGCAGATATAAAGGCTAAATACAGAAGTCAGAAAGAGATAGCTAAGGGGAAACCATACGTTGAATGAAAGCAGCATAAGAAATACACACCTCAGAAGAACTGAAATTGGCTATGGGTGAAAAAGTAAAAAACACAACGACCAAAAAAGACATGGAAATTTCGAAAACGATATTTCCAAACAAATCGTAGTATGCACCCACGAACGCAATTGGCCACAAGTGATTCACACCATCATTTTTTTTTTTTTGCATCACTATAGCTATGCGTTTCTATACATGACTGAGCAAAAACATAGGTACTGTCAAATGGCCGGAAGTAGATTTGGCATCTGGGATGCAAAACACAAATTATATGCAAATATTGATTATGACTTTTTGAAATAAAAAAATCGACCGTCGGTCACCTCCGTCAGGCATGCATGAATGCCGCGTCTGATTTGAGCCACACATAGGCTTCACCATAATCAAATGCGTTAAACGCTGGAAGGGGTTATACAGAAAGCTGATAGTTATGTGCGAATGTAAATAAAAAACTTTCAAAACTGGACAAAATCAGGATGCACAAGCTAGGTAATAAACTATAAAAGCAAACCAGACATTCTTACCGTTGCTACCAAACTGTCCGTGGATTTCTCCTAAAAATCCACTACGGATGTGGTAGATTCTACCACACAGCAGTACGTACCGCGCATTTGAAACATTGCGAGTGAAAGTTCTTGTTGAGCGCCTCCACCCAGCGGTCTCCTGCCTCGATCGGGAATCCGCAGCCCACACACTTTGTGGTGAACAGCTCGTTCCAGTCTGGGGATGGATGGAATGATAGTTAAATTGAAGACGTCCCGCAGCCCACACATTTCGTGTTGAACAGCTCGTTCCAGTCTGCGGATGGATGGAATGAGAGTGAAGACGTTGACGAAGTCAAAGACTGATCGGCAGCATTTCCCACATATAGTACCAAAGATGATTGCAGCAGGGCTCAGTGGAGCTCGCCGTTCTCCTCGCAGCATAGCTCACCGTTTTCAAGTAGCTTCTGTTGAGAGTACTGCGCGTCGGTGCGTCGGATCCATCAAGCCTTACCGACGAGAGAGACTGTACAGCTAACCGTTCTCAAAGTTGACAGTCCTAGACCACCGTTCTTGCAGTATGGCAGTCCGCTCTTCGACCGTTGTCGCGGTTTTCTCACCGTTCTCGCAGGAGAACAGTCTAATTATTTTTTATCTCACCGTTCTCGCCGTTATAGCTCACCGTTCTTGCAGTAGGGCAATCTTATCTTAACCCTCGCCGGACCTATTGGTTTTCTACATACGCGCCGGCCGAGGGGGGGGGGGGCGGGTACGACCCCCCCTCGCCGTTTCGCCCCTGGTGGAGCTAGCGCGTCGCGGAAAAAAACGAGCGTGTGCGCCGTTACAAGACGCAGAGATTGGTACCCGATTTTAAGGTCCTAGGTCAACCGGTGACCTCTGAGGTCAGGTCAAGTGCCCCAAGGTACGGTTCAGTTTTTGGTGAATAACTTCGCAAAAAATGGCCGCAGAGCGCCGATTTTGGCAGCATCGTGTTCGTCTCGCTCAGGCGAGTCGAATGATATACTTTTTGTCCGGGTCAGGTCAACTTGGGGTGTTGACCTCAGGTCAAGGTCAGGTCAGCACCCCCAGGTCACGAAGTTGGTCGAAAGAGGTCATGTCGCATATCATTCGATTCGGCAGGTCTTCCTGAGTCCATTGGTGGCTTTCCCGACTCGCTAGCTCAATTTGATCAAGAGTTATTGACGAAAAACTAAAATTACGTTGATGACGTCATAAATGACGTCACGCAAGGTCAACATTGCAAAAGTGACGCATCTAACCTTGCAAGGAGTGCATCAAATCACGATTCTGTGTGCTTGAGATAGTTGGAGATCGTTCCCGGCGCCAGAATAGCAGTTTTCATTTTTCCCCATTGACTTATAATGGTGAGGTCACGAAAATGACCTGACCTCATATGACCTTTAGGAAAAATCCGAGATATACAAGTTGTGGGACTCATAATGGATACTAGATCCTGCAAGTTTCATTTCCCTGTGACATCTCCTCTGGCAGTGAGGGCGTTGCGAAGTTGCGACATCTGAAGACCGTGCAGAGGTTCACTTATGACGTCATAGGTCAGTGACCTGACCTGACCCAAAAATGCGGTTGGTGTCAAAAGATCCGGCTTGGATCAAAGGTCAGGTATGCCAAGTTTCAGCTCTCTATCGCCAGCGTGTTCGGAGCTATCGCGAAAAAGGGGGGCGGCACCCGCCCCCCCCCCCTCGGCCGGCGAGGGTTAAGCTCACCGTTCTCGCAGTTTTAGCTCGTTCTCGTGGTTTTAGCTCATTCTCGCCGTTATAGCTCACCGTTCTCGCAGTAGGGCAGTCCGTCCTCGAGGAAGAAGGCCGAGTTTCCGAACAGGCCTCCGCAGTAGGCGCAGGCAAAACACTCCGGATGGTAGGATTTGCCGATCGCCTTCAGACAATCCTAAAGGACAAACGGACAGCAAGACATTAGACACAGAGTTGTGGGCAAACGAATAAATTTACTAAAGAACGGTCACGGAAGTAATTGAAGAGGCCACAAAGAGGTGTCGTCAGTTATAGGGGTGAACGGACAGAACATGAACTCGAAGATCTTCAGTGCAGCGCTAATTAGAAAGGAAAAACCTTCGATAGAGACACGAGGGGATACAAAAAATTAGGCGAGGCACCTAATTAATTCCTTTCCTTGACAAAAGACTGGACAAGAGCTAACCAGCGCAACCAACTAATCGGTCAACGTCACCCCCCCCCCCACACACACACACACATCCAGCCCTAGCCCTCCCCCCCCCCACGTACCCCCTTGATGCGTTTCTGGCACTTGAAGCAGATGGGCGCCAGGCTGGTCTCCCAGCATTTCTCGCAGTACGTCTGACCGTCCACCTCTACGAAGCCAATGTGCTCCAGCTCGCAGCGGCAGTTGGTTGTAGCGCAGACGAAACAGGCCGGGCACCAGCACTGACCCAGAGCCGTGATGAACGGGCCGCTGTGGGTGACCGGGGGAGGTCAGCGGCAGGGGCGGCGCCAGGGGTCAGCGGCAGAGGCGCCGCCAGGGGTGGGGCATGGGGTGCGTCAAATGATGAAACAGGCCGGGCACCAGCACTGGCCCAGAGCCGTAATGAACGGGCCGCTGGGGGTTGACCCGAGAGAGGTCAGCGGCAGGGGCGACACCACGGGTGGGGCAGGGGAGGGGTCAGCGGCAAGGGCGCCGCCAGGGGTAGGGCAGGGGTAGAGGTCGGCGGCAAGGGCGCCGCCAAGAGTGGGACAGCGAAGAGTTCAGCGACAGGGGTGCAACCAGGGGTGGGGCAGTGACAAAAGCGGATCCAGGGGTGGGGTAGGAGAAGTCAGCGGTAGAGACGCGGCCAGGGGTGGGACAGAGACCACTGTGGGTGACCGGGGAGAGGTCAGTGGCAGGGGCGACGCCAGGGGTGGGGCAGGAAAAGTGAGCACAGCAGCGGCGAGTTCACGGTGACGGTGGGACGGTGACGGGAGCGGGTCCACGAGTAGGGTTGGAACGTGGTCATGTATGGGAAAGAGCAGGGACGATTCCAGGGGGTGGGAAAAGGCTGAAACAGGAGGCGCTGTGAGGGAAGAAGAGGTCAGCGGCGGAGGTTCACCCAGGGTGTCTTAGGCGGTTGGAGTGGTGGGACAAATGTGTGGCTAGGGGTGGAACAGGGACAAAAAAGTATCCAGGTATTAAGCAGGGGCGTCTAGGAAGGTCAAGAATAAGAAGAGTCAAACGACCAGGGGCGCGTCCGTCGTCCAGCATACATTTACCAAATGCCAACCATGAAACATCGCTTCACTTACTTCACCCTAAACGAGCGTCATATTTTTCAGATCCACGCCGAAGACCAGCTAAATCCTCAGATCCTACAATCTACATATACATATCAGTAGGTGGAACTATGGTCATGAGTACCCAAATATAGGAACGTTCCCATTTTTGGGAACGGAGTTCCCAAATATGGGAACGGGCGTTCCCATTTATGAGAACGGAAGGTAATTTTTCGGCCGTTCGCCCACTAAAACTCATTAGTTCATCACATCTCAAAAAAGTGCACGCTAATTCAAGTATCTACTAAGTCTCCATAAAATTATCTTTAATCTGACCGTTGAACAAGGAAATTGACCGTGGAATGATATTTTTAATGATTTTTTGAAATGACGGAATGGTGAAAACATGGGTTATACTACATTTAACATGCAATTTTAAGGAAAATGAAGCGTTTTTTACAGTCTGAGGTCAAGTATAATAATTTTCGCCTGGTTATGAAGTTTCATACTAGCGACACCAGATGCCGACATATGCAAGCGAACACGCGGACAGTCCCGAGGTAATATTGTTGACTTTTGGTGTCGGGGCGCACGACCGCGTGGAACGTCAGTGATTTTACCGAACTACTGTTGTAAACTCAGTTTCAGTGGTTTAAAATTATTCAGCTGTGTTTTATCAGCCCGGAAAGACATATTTTATTTGAATGCTAGCTGTCTAGCGTTGTTTTATAAGGAGCGTCATGAGCGTGGTTTTTGTCTTCCGAGTTTCTAAGCATGATCGTTTTGGGGGAATTTCTCTTATATAGGTCGCTCTGTGTGGCTTATTTATAATTTTTATGCTGATTTCGATCATTCCTCGTGCCCATCCTACCAGGCCTTTTGCCACTCACACTCATTAAGAAAGGAAAAAACTAGATTTTCATTGGGACTAGGTGTTTTGAGGGTGTAACATATTCAGCGTTCCCATTTTTGGATAGGTACTTTCTTGTGCTCGTCAACTATCGGTGATAAACAGACAGGTGCTTGACATGACTCCACCCTCGGCGCGGACGGTGGATATAGGTATGGAAGACCTTGTTGAACATCGCTGAGCGTTGTGAATTGCGTAATCCTGCAGAGGGGGGCGTGCCCGCTGCGAGATCGACGGGAATAAAAGCGCAGAAGACCGGGCGAAACATGCGACGGTCTTGCCGGAAAGGTCATCTGATGATTGTTGCGTTAACAATAATTTGCGGCGTTGGACGTGATGCTTGTTAATGAAAAGAGCCCCTGAAAGGCTTCGGTGAAATCGTTCCCAATTTTGGGTACGCCGTTCCCATAATAAGGAACGCTTGCAGCGCCAGTATACGAGAGCGTTCCCAAATTTGGGCTCGCGGCCCGGATGATGGACTGCTTTAGAAATAGGGGAACGATTTGAAACTACGATGGGCCTCACAATATCAAACTCTTTCCCAACAATAATGAGACAAATATCAGGCGGTTCACGATCGTTTTATATTTTTTGGACGTCATTTAACGGTTCTTTTTCTTGTTTTAAATAATGCCTACATGGCGTTCCCATATTTGGGTTTATCGTTCCCAAACATGGGGACGAAAATGCGTTCCCGAAAATGGGTACGCTTGACCATAGTTCCGCCTACTGATATCCATCACCAGGATCTATCCATTAGGTATCCACATATCCACTCACCGGATCTGATTTCCGCACGTGTGGCAGACGGGGATCCGCGATCCGGCGGTAGCGGCCGGGTTCATCGTGCCCCGGCCGCGGCGCGGGGCGTTCATCCCCGCTGTTGAGCCCTTTCCTCCTCCACCACCACCGCCACCTCCGCCAGTTCCCAGGCCGCTCAGACCTGGCAGTCCGCCGTTGAAGCCGAGCTTCCCCGGGCCGCCGATAGATGGTGCTGGCGGCGCCGCCGGCTTGGGCACCACCGGCTTGGGCGCGGCTGCAGGCGCGAACGAGGGCTGTCCGAAGTGTACCTGTTTGGGAGGAGCAGGAGCAGGGGCGGGAGCCGGAGGCGGAGCAAAGGAGACGGGAGCCGCGGGCTTGGGGAACACGGGAGGCGGAGCCGGCTTAGGGACAAAGGCCGGAGCTGGAGCCGGAGCCGGAGCCGGGGCAGGCGCGGGAGCGGGGGCGGGGTGCGAGACCTCGACGTGGCCTCCAGCGAATGGATGGGGAGCCGAGTCGACTTCTGTAGGCTTCGGAGGCCATGCGAATGTGGTGCCACCTACAGGGCAGGCGGGGAACTGTTACTGCACTACACCACACGCCAGGTGGCGGAGTTCTCAATGAGGTGTGCAAGGTGGGAGGGGCTGACCTTGAGGCACTAGCCAATCAGAGGCCAGACTTCACTGGGGGGGGGGGGCGGGGCTAGCGCTGATTTTATAGCGCAGAAAGATCGTTTGAATGTCTCCAATGAACGGCATAGGCAATTGTTGATTGGTCAGCTATCAAAGACGTCGTGATTAATAAACCATTCATCAGCAAGCCTTGTTCATCTTTGGATAGGTATCATTCGGGGACGGCTTTCACTCGCACTGCGCACACCTCATTGAGAACACCACTCGATCAAGCAGCACGACAAAGCAACGACAAAGCATAAAAGAGTAAAGGAAGGCGCGCAAGAGTTGCGCTGAAGTTTCAGATCGCACTTTAGCTACCTATTTACGCGAAAGCACAACAAAGATTTATATCACGTTCCTAAAACCAACTGTAGACAAAGCACAGGAAAACGTAGAAACTCCAGTACCTAGGTATGCTCTACCGCCTATACCAGATGCTCATATTCCTGCTCAGTGAAGCCAGCGTATCATTTCCTAAGTAACATGTTGCAAAAATATCCCGCGTCTTAAATTCTGTGTTAAACCCGCGCACTGACGGAGCGCCCCCCCCCCCCCCGAGGTTTTTCGTAAATAGCGGAAAACCCGCGGCGCATAGCGCCGCGAAATTTGGCATGGCCACATCAATTGTACACATGGTGAGCAAGTTTAAACTTCTTACTTTTCAAGGTCAGGTCACCAGGTTACTTTGAATGACACGACCTCAAATCACGTTTCTTTTTAGCAAAATGCTTACCTACATGTTACCTACATTATAAACCAAAGCAAGGTCTCCATGCAAGCTTCCGAGCTACGTGTGGGGATGTTTTAAGCAGAATCATGCAAAGCCAGGCTTGCTCAAGGCTATAGAACGGCTTGCTTTCAGCTTTGGGCGGTGTGTTGATGCATGATGCTTAAATTACCGTCTTTCAATGAGCCGCATAGATGTCTGAACGCTGATGAAAGATCAAAGGATTAGCTAAGTAACGCGTGATAGGATTGAATAAATGGATGAAGTGGAGTGCTGGGATGCAATACAACAATGTAGGTAGGTAGGCACAGACTATACAGACTGAAACCAATCTACTGATTGCGGATGATCAGAGAAATAGGAAACCCGCTGAGAAGAGGATAGGCGACGCGTAGTTGGGATGGAAACTCGGATAATTTCAGAGATCGCTTATCAGAACGCCAGGAATATTGGATAATTGGGTTCAGTATTCAAAAAGGATTGACAATATGCATCGATACAAAAGTATTAAAGAAATATTGATATACCATGGCATGGTAAGCATATGTATTGTGACGAGTTAGCTCAGCCAAGCATAGCATTATTTGATTTCTGACCTCGACGTATCATTACTTTCGATTACATCTCAAGCAACGCTCGTTGGCATACCAGACTTCCAAGTGACAACTATCTACGCGACATTCACCAGATAAAAGTCGATCGAGTCACGTTCTTAGGACAGCTCATCTGTCACGTAACCAATAGCCGTGACGGACTTGCGTGACGGGTCGTCAGTATGTCGTGGTCACGTCAAGGTCACGTCACGTCACCTCGCCGTGTCGCGTTATGGCACGTCTTGCTGTAACGTCACGTCTCACACAGTCTACGTAGGCGCGATGTCACATAACTACCTAGAACGTCCTGCTAGCATTCACGAAGGCAGTGACCGAGAAATGTCGGGGTTAGGAAAAAGCGGAAAAAGGGCAGAGACAGACAGACAAAAGATTAAAGAAAAGGTATATGAAGATGAAAAGGTAGATGAAGAATGAAGAGACAAGTAAGGATAGTGGGCCGTAGAATATCAGTTTAAAAGACTAAGAGGAAATGAAATGTAAAGAGCGTGAGAATTGGTAGAAACTAGAAGGGAGGATAGGGTGAAGAAGGGAAAATGTGTGATGTGTCCCAGATGTGTGTGATGTGATGTGTCCCAGAACAGACCAAAATAAATGATCTTACATTGGGTAAAGGTGCACGGTCAATCATTTTTTGCTGAAACCTGAGCTGATAGGTAAGCATTGTGTAAATTTAGTGTTGAGCAGTACTCTCTCCTTGAAGGCGTCTGTGATGACCCTCCTCTGCGACCTTCGAAGCCGCCTGCCCCAGTTGGCCCGCACTACCAACGACCTGAATCGCCGCGGGGTATGTCGGGCTGGCGTCCCACTCTTGGCGAGCGACGAGACGAGAGTGCCAGTGGGTGGGAGAGGAGAGGGAGAGAGAGAGAGAGAGAGGGGGGGGGAGAGAGAGAGAGAGCAAGAGAGAGACGGAAAGAACATGTCTGAGCTACGGAGCTCTTCGTCCACAACTAAAATTATCGTCATCGTCGAGGTTTGCGTTACCTGCTTTTGATGGAGGCGGAGAGGTGTCTTCGGCTCCGGTATTGTAGTGTGTCTCCCTGCTGCCTTCGGATGACATCGCCTCCCTCCGCAAAGCGTCGAGACGTTCCCACACTTCATCGGACTGGTCCATCATATCTCCAGCGTGAGGCGACTCTACCGCTTCTAGATGAGGCTCATCTTGGCTCTGAGAGCCATAGGCAGACTCCGGCATCGAGTAGGCTGAGCCGTCTACCACTTCTGGTTGAGGGGAATTTTCGTTGTTTTGGTGGGACTCCCATTGTGACATAGATTGAGATGATGTCTCACTTCTGGACGACGACATATGTGTGATTTGTGAAGACATGTTAGTCTTTTCAGAGTAACAAGACTGAGACTCTTGAATCATCTGCATTGAGGACGATTTTTCTGTTCTATCATAGCTCTGTTCGGTTCTGCTATGCGAGGATTGAGTTAAATCCGTCTGCCTTCTGCATTCTTCCTCGTCGTCCTGAACCGCGAACTTCACACATTTTCCCTTCGAATGATCGGATGGCATCGGCCTATCAACGCTGTCGCTGGCTGTCTCGGTGTTCTTCGAGACCTCCGTACGCTTTTGAGCCTCTGCTTCCGTGATGCGTCGTTCGTTTTCCTCTTTCGCCATCAAAGACTCCCGGACATCATCAAAAGCGCCTGTCACCTCACTCCTTCGTTCTTCCCCAAATCTTTGCTCATCCTCCATCTTGTGTGAGTGCGTGAGCCCAGAGTCTCTCGCTGGTTCGAACTTCCTGACTCTCCTGTTGGGCAGCGGAGAACCGGATCTCACCGCGGCAGCCGTCTCACTGATCAGCTTCTTCTGCTGAGCGCTCAGCTCGCTCAAGCTCGGCACATCGGCCGGTAAAGGCTGTTCCCGACACCACGCCTTGACGTCTCTCTCCATTTGAGCGACCCTTTCCAACTGGGCGCGATACTCCTCTTCACTCGCATCTCCAGCTCTGGCCGCAGCTGCTGTTTCGACTTCCAACTCAGCTCTACGACGCAGCAGATGTGGCAAGGGACTTGGTGAGCGATCTCCGCGATCTCTGCCACCCATGCGACCCTCGGGTAGGTTATCCTCACCGTCCCGAGCCCCAGGGTCGCCAGCGGGCGGATGCCACTCCCGAGCCTCAGGGCCGACGGGCGGCGGGACAAACGGTGGCTGGTGCTTCTCCCGAGCGGCCACGACAGGTTGCAACATGTCGTGGAGGGTGTGGAAGTCTGGCGCGTCGTGAGGAGGCAAACCGCTGCCCGCCTGTGGGTACCATATTGGACTGGCGGTGGGTTGTTCCGGGTCGTGTGCTGGGGGCCATTTGAAATGGGCGCGCTTGGGACAGGCTATGTGTGAGATGCCGCCTGACAGTCCGAACGTGCAATGTCCGCCCAGAGTGAGGTGGGTACGTAATAAGTGGCGAATGTGTGAAAATGGAGACGAAAGTTTAATTAATCGTGCGTACGCGTTTCAAAATCAGAAAAAGAGGCGAAGGTAAGAAGAAAACAACATGTTGCAAGAAAATAAATTAAATCATAAATGAGTAGATACAAGCAAGGCAATTAGAGTACAATATTTGGAAAAACAGAACACACAGCAAATCACATGCAAGCAATGGAATGTATGCAAATCAAGAAAAGGGGAACAAATAAACAAAAAGCATCGCCGCGGCCCCGAAGGTAGGAGTTGGGAGCGGCAAGGATGAAAGAAACGACATAGACGTTAGACATTCTGAAAACCATACAAGTCTCATAGCTAGCGCCTGTCATAGACTATGAAAAATAAAATAATGACACAAAAATAAACGTTGGTGGCGTAACGCATTCAGTCTCGTAATATATGAACAGAATGCCATGCATGTTCCATATTTTCTAAACCTAGCTAAGTGACATGTTTTTAATTGTTTCCTGTAAAACAAAAACATTTTTGCGTAATAAGACAAATAAGGAATCATTTTGGATAAGCGTTTGCCTTTTTCTGCGCACACGGTGACATTGCTGTCAAAATAGTTTTTTCAGGGAGAATCCCATTCATTTTAGGATCAGCGTGTTTTGTGAGGCATATACCTACTTCTTCACCTTTTTTAGTTTTATGGTCACTGAATGGTTCCTGCAATATTGACCTATAACTAAAATTCGCCGCCATTCCTTTCTTGAACATTAGGGCTTTCGTAAAAACATATGAAGGTGTTGAAAAATCACTGCGAACATTACAGTTAAGAGAACGGCGAATTTTTCAAGCGTTTATTGCATCGCCGACGGCGATGCAATAAACGCTTGAAAACGGCATATGTGCGTATCTTTGTCTATACTGTGCCAATCTGAGCTATTGATATAATCTATTCTCACAATACTCTTTTCCCAATGTTCCTCATTTTATCTTATTCTGTCTTCCTGTGACTTTGTATCTTCTCATCCTATTTAAACCTCCCTTATAATCTTGTATTATCTCGCTCTATCTCAAATCAATATCAATCTACAACATTTTGGAAAATACACACACACTGAACGCAAAGCACTAAACACAACCACAAGAGTAAAAATACTCCCGACCCTCACCCGATAGGGTGTAAACGGTACTGACCTTTTCTCTGGGGCACATAGCTGGTGTAATCCACTTGGGAGATACCCGACGATCCCGCTCCGTACAGATGGGACTTCTGGGTGGACTGCTGGGAGGACTGCTGATGAAACTGCTGAGTGGACTGCTGCTGGAACTGCTGGGTTTGCTGCTGGTACTGCTGCGTCTGGTACTGCGGCGACACGGGTGCCGGAGCCGGAGCCGGAGCTGGAGCCGGAGCCGGAGCTGGAGCCGGAGCGGGAGCGGAGATGGGCTGGTAGCTTCCGGCAGCCGGAGAAGGCTGTAAGGGTAAAGATGGGGTAAGTTTAACGAGATACTGATAGGGAATAGTTGAGGGGTAATCACAGAACAGTCAGAGAGTAGATAGTCGTCGGAAGCATACGATCATAGGCCGGGAACGACAAAGGTAAGAAAGTGCGATGTGGAGACGAATGTTTACGGTGCTACACATCATAACGAGCATTCAATAACGATTGGGCGCAATATGATGGCAAGCAGCATGAAAAAACGAAACAGTATTGTTTGTTTATTTATTCGGGCTTTAGGGTGCGCCGACTACCAAAGTAATTTTGCGCCCAAAGGAACGAAAAATTCAGCATCGTTTTGTACTTCTGTTTATCCGCACCTTTTTACTTGTATGATTAAAATTGTGACAGCTTATGGAAGGATTCACCAAGACACGATGACAATACATAACTTTAAAAATTTGGTCATTGTCTTCAAAACATTTCAATCACGAACGATTGAGAACCATTTACAGAAGTTTCGTTAACGAAGGCTGGTCTCTACTGGTTGTGTTTTCAATTTTTTTTTTTTAGGACGCCTCTTGATGTTGAATATGGGACTCCGATACCTATACTTATTCCTTACTTGAAACCCTCCACGCCACATGGTTTGCGTTTCACTGATCCAGGCCACGCAATCAGCGCCACGCTCACTTTACATCAGCCAATCACATCACTCCCTCAACCTGCACTGGCCAATCACTGCTGCCGCTGCAGCGCTGACCGCCACGATCGACAGTGGTCCTCAAACTGAGCCGCACTGACGGCATCTGTCGGTCGCCCTGCCCCGAGGCACGTCGGCCATCTTTGGCACGTGCGTTCGGCGCCAAGCATTCCGTACGTGTCGCAGCCGAGGACAAGTGCGTAGGTCGGGGATGATTTTGAGTGTCAGCGTATCAGAATGACAACGAAAACGCGTTACGAGGGAGTTCTCCAGATAGACGACAAGGTAATAAAGATACAGAGACAAATGGCCACAATTTTGTGAGTAGATTGTTACTAATACCACTGGAAAAGGCAACGAGTCATAATCACGCACGAGTCGCAACTTTGTTTCATTGAGGAACTAAGATAGGCAGCATTGATCGTCTGTGATGTCTGTGATGTCTGTGATGTCTAGGTACAGCTATCATCATTGCATCATTTTCTGCATAAATGACAGACACCAACTACCAAAGCTAGGTACTCTACAATAGTTGCGAAGTCTTCTGCAAATCACAACACCCGTCGAATACTACATTGGATTTGCCTGAAGATCCGTACAAGCCACATCCTCAGTGGATAGTGGATATGTATACCAACAACGCATGCAAACTGCTTAAGTACATCCTAAGGCAATGGACTGAATGGTCCTAAATGCTTTGTAAATTCCTAACCGCACACAAAGTACCTAGGTATTCAAACAACTTTAGCCCACTTCGAAGCTACATGTAGCTGCTATTTACAATTCAATCGCTGTCCCAACACTACCAGAAGCAGCTAATGCTTCTGAGAAGCTTCCTACATTATTCTTGCTGGTAACGGCTACGAGTTTTAGTGCTATCTGAAGTCCAACAGCTACATTATATGAAGTACCGAAACTACGTGACGACAGCGTAACTTTCTTATAAACTATTGGCGGATTTCTGACAAAACATTCTCTAGTAAGTACCGTAGCCTTCGTCGGAGGCTTGGGCGCCTCCACCGGTGATTCTTTCGGAATAACAACCGACTCAATTTCGGCAGACGCCGATGGAGTCAGAGAAGAACCCAGGACGTTCTCAAACGGAGAACTCTGCACGTTCTCGGTCGGAGAACTGACAGTGGGCTCAGCATGAGAGTCCACAGGCGGTTCGCCAGCGTGACAGTCTTCAATCTGTGAACAGCCGCCGATAAATTGTACATAACAGTCGCCGGCTATGCCTGTTCGGAATTGATGCACATCGTGCTCACGCTCGTCCGGCCACAGCCAATCAGAGAGCGCGATAAGATGGCTAGTGATTACGTCAGCAGGCATCATCAATTCACTGACGAGATAGAAAACTAATGACTGTTGGACCGGCTCCTGACGTCAGAATGACGTGGGTTTATATCGTTTGTCGCCGATATTTACACTGGCAACTGTACGAAGATTCCTGTCAAGTTATTTCACTACTGCGTTCCCCATTCATTCGGCTAACGGGAAGTGTTAGGAATTCGAACATTTGTTTACCAAATGGTTACCGGTCTCCTAAGCTATCGCGACATATGCTTCGCATTATAAAACCCAGCTTGATCATCCATTAGTGAAAAAGTGCCTACCTTCTGACATACCTGAGAACGTCATCCAAAAGAAAACTGACGTCAAGTGAGAACAGTGACACATAAACTTATTCTCGTTATGCGTCGTTTTGGAGAGGTATTTACAAAACAATTTCAAACATATGTACACACACTTCGTAGCATATTGGAAATCGGGAATGGTTCGAATACCAAAGCACACATGCCAGATGTATATCACCTCCAGTGGAGCAACCTGCCTGAGAAGCAATGGATTTTCGTGCTGCTATCATACCAGTCATGTCCCATCTATACGAGTCTTGGTCACGCTGAAGGCAGACATTCCTGGGAACAGCCAAATGATGCGTTTGTCTCTACTGAGGAAGAACTCGAAGACACTTCACCCTACGGTGGAGCGATTCTACGCAATCGGCTCAAGGAAAAGCCAAAACAGGCCTCGCGCTACTTCTACCTCATTGCTGTCAAAACGGGTTGATGTTCATAAATGCAGGGTCAAGCCAGTACTGGCCTAGCTACAGCCAAAAGTACTGGCCCAGCTCTAGCCATCTAACCGATTCGTCTTCAGGCACCAAGTACACGCGGGTTGATGGTGCCTCCCCAAAACTACTGCTGCGCATTCCAAACAAGCCTCATGACGTCATTCATTCCTGCGAAGCATGACGTCAAACTCCAGCGGAGTCACGCCCAATCACCGGCAGGGGCATGCTTCTCAAGGTCACCGCTACGAGGCGCCACGGGCCGCCCTACCTGGAACCCGGAGGCCGATTGGCTGCCCAGCTGTGACGCGATCGCTGATTGGCCGGGGAACTGTAAAGCGCCCACTGATTGGCCGGGGAACTGTAACGCGCCCGTCGATTGGCCGCCCTCCACGCGGGTCTCGCGCTGGTACATTTTCTGCTCCTGTTCACGTGACTCCACCACCTTTCGTGTGCGCGTGACCGTCGTTCCTCCAACCGTCTCCACCGAAGTGGCCACCGTTTGGTGAGACTCATGAGACTCATGAGACTCCGCGTGCTCCACCTGAGTCGTGGAACCACCTCCAGCGTTCAGGACGCGTTCGAAGCGATCCTCCAGAGTGTGACCCTCAGTCCGCTGCTGCTGTTCGACCTGCTGCTGCTGTGGGAGGCCTTGCTGAACGTCTTCAGCCGCCACCAAGGCGGTTTCTTCAGGGAAGGAGACGCGACGCTCCGGCTCCGGTTGTGCCGGGGGCGGTGAGGCCACGATCGGCTGGGGCTCGGGAGACGCCACCGGAGAGGGGACGACCGCCGGCGGACGGGGCTCGGGAGATGTGACCGGCGGAGGGACGACCGCCGGTGGAAGGTCCTTGGTGCCGCCGAACGCGGCCGCTTTGTCCTTGAGAGGTCAAACAGAGGTCAAGGTCGCAACACAGACACTGACGCTCTGTGAGGTGTTAATGTGTTAGAACATTGACATTAGACTAATATGCCAGAACCAGAATAATTAAAGTAGCAACAAACGCGGGTGGAAATGAAATAAGAATCTGAAGTCACATACACTGCAAAAGAACTGGGCAATCAAAACCAGAGGAGATTCAAACGACTCGTGACGTCTACTCGAGTTTTAAGGAATAATTAGGCTTCTTTTTCAAAGAAGTTACGTAGCACTATATATTAAATCCCTTCAAAAACGTTCCAAACTTTTTAGACACAATGTCAACAACAAACCGGAGCAGATTTTCAAAGGGCGCTATAAAAACTATTTCACACAAAATAGCACAAGGTGGAAACAGCACGCCCCACCAAAATTCACATTACTTCCACATCAAAAACATCATTGTCAAACCAATCAGCTGACCGCTGCGAAGTCAGCTGATGACCGCCTGGGGCGTCACGCCACTACTGTATACCTTGAAAGATTGCGGGGTGCGGTTGAAAGCATTAAAATGCTTCGTCTCTGTATCAACGGCCGTCACCAGTTTGACAGAGCCCGTGGACGGGTCCGTCTTTATCATCGTGGCGGAGGTCTGCGGTAAGGTCAAGGTCGCTGGGGTCAAGGTCACACCAACAGAGGTCATGGCCGCAGCAAGGGGAGAATCCCACACACAAGGGGAGCAGCCGCTGCAAACTACCAAGATATTAAAGTCATAGGTAGAGTGAATATAGAAATGTAGCGAAGAGTATGGTATTTCCACAGCAGAAATAGTGGGGGAGAGAAATGCACAAAGGGTCTGCCCCTGTCGCTCCACAGCTCTGACCTCCTCAAATGTCCTCCAATTTGCTCAACACTCCTCCAAACTCCTCTCAGAGCTCCAGTCTCTCCGCCGATTTCCTCAGAGCTCCTCCGCTCCTCCGTGCCTCGTCTCGGGTCTCCTCCATTTACCTCCTAAACGAAAAGCATTGTTTCGCAGGCAGTAATGGATAGCAAAAGTGAATTCAAAGATTCATTTACGCACTCATTTACTCAAAATGCAGTAAGATTCATAGCAATTTGAAATTTTGATCGATTTAAGCTTAGCTTATTTCAAAGCATGGGTTTGCATTACATTCACCATGAAATCAGATTTACTCAGTCGTGTTAGCGTTCAGCCAACTCCGACACCGACTCCAGTCTCCTCGTCGACTCCGACTCCGACTCCGACTCCGACTCCGGTTCAGCAACAGCCATGGACGACGCCGTAATGTTTCTCATCACGGGTGCTGCACTTATCGTTGCCTTACTGTAGTACCGTTTACTAGTTCTGAAGCTCGAGCCAGGGCCTTGTACCTATCGTGAGCATCGAAGTGTGGTGTGGGGGGTTTTAACCCCCCCCCCCTAATTTAGCTCCTAAGCCGCGTAGCGGCATGCAATGGCCGACGTTCGAAATAGCATAAGAAATTATGAAAGAAGTAAAAACTTCCTACATAATTTACCTCGAACCATAGCCCATTTCACCAGGTCTTGCTTAGCCTGTCAAATTGTCCTGATTTTGCATTTTTTGACTAAGTGGCTCGCAACTCTTGGGCCAATATACAGGGCTAAAGTAGAGCTCTTCATGGGCCGGATAAATCCGTTATCCACGGATAAATCCGTGGACCGGATAGGATTGGATCCCAAATTTGGAAAAATAGAACGGATCTGGGCGGGCCGGATTTGGGAATTGAATGTTGAACACGGATCAGAACGGATAAAATTGTAGCATTCAATATTCGCGTCAAGAATTAACTTAACTTGTTAAGCAGCAGCAGAAGTATTAATTGATTTACATGAAATTTCTAAGCATACCTATGTGAGTCATGATAGTCTGTAAGGTATGTGGCAGCACCAACCAATTGTTTGAAATATAGGTCACAACATAAAATTACCCATAAAATCTACAGACTCAGCCATGTTCCTAACTGAGGAAGCGAGAAAAACCGCCATGGCATCCTATCCGCCATGGCTCGCTGGTTGCTGAATAAGATACGAATCATGTAAAAATATGTGTTAATAACTCACTTGTCCTGAGAACAGTCACCATATAATATGTATAAAAACGATAATGCCTTCTCTTGAATTTTTCAATCTTCCAGGCAGGAACAGACACAAGGTTATCAATCTCCAAGTATCTATGATGTGGGCACCGAATAGCCTGTCTAAAACAGCCCACTATCACTAAACACCGGTTTCGAAACAGATGCGCCATAACAGATGCTTTTAACCAGCTGAGTAAAACGCTGCAAAAAAAGGTTTAACTTAACGCAATGCCTCGTGGATAATTTTTTTTTAAACAAAAATGATTCAACATGACATTAAATTATTATGTAATTGACATTTTCAGTGTAAATCACGCCAAGAAATTTCTTTCCTTCTCCGAAACTTAACTTAAAGGGTAATCGAATCGATATTACGTCATCAGCTTACCTATTTCATCAAGGGAGAGCGGATCTTAAAAAGTCAATCCTTGCTTGCTTTTTTGCGCCACTATCGTCAATTTTGTCTGTTTATTGTTGTCGTCTGGTTTAACTTATTTCTATTTCATTTTGGGACCAAAGTCAGGCTCAGGGCTATTTAATACCTACCTTTTCAGCTGGGTCTTCAGTGTCAAATTCTTGTACCTATCTCAGACCAAGATACCTTCTCAGACCACATCCCAAGGCCAGTTTCCAAACAATGTGTTTTGTGGTGTTTTGATTCTGCCTTTTCCCATATAGAATGTTGTCAAGGTCATGAACATTTATTTATTAATTGTATTATACCTATTACCTACCATTTGACTTCCTAATTGTTTGTGGTTTTGCTATATGAATGAGTACTCTTCCTTTTATGGACCACAGTAGATTCTCGACAATTATGATAGCCAACCTTATGAAATGCTAAGGTCCATGTGTTACCCCTACCCTTAGCAATGCAGCTTATACCACAAAATGTATTTTGCAGTGGCTAAGATTGCTGTTATTACAATTTGATAGCCTCTTAGTGGCCAAAGTTTGAATCTTATGGCGATATGCTGATAGTCTCACAACCGGTTTTTGATGAAACGGATGATTATGGATATTTTTTGGATGTATGGCTGAGATACGGGCCATGGGCGGGCCGGATTTGGAAATTCAAAGAAAGACGGATAATGGGCGGATCTGGATATGACTTGCCGGATATGGGCCGGGCCGGATCCTGAAAAGCCTATCCGTGAAGTGCTCTAGGCTAAAGCATCCCGAAAAACATTTCTTACCGAACACTTTACAACTCTTTCGCTAAAATGTCCTAACTTTTGACATAATATCAACAGTGTAGCTTTCAGGTAACATAAACTCTAAAAACTGTTATTCTTTATTTTTTCAATTAACTTTGACACAAAGCTTGAGTTTGAGCTGTGCTGATTTATTTCACCGGCACCGTGGTTCTCTCGTCAAAACACATCGAACGAACTATAATATGACCCGAAACTAGTCAGCTTTTGGCTATCTCTCTAATACCGTTGCTGTCCGTTTGCGATCTTCCGACTCCATCTATTACTCTACCAGAACGCCCTTGACGGCGGTTTGGCGTAGCCGGCACCGTAGGTCGAAAGAACAGCTCATTGGAGGGAAACGTCATCAACTGCAAGGGAGCCAAATTATATTTGGGTCACCACTCTCACAAACACCGGGCACCAATCATGTAGATCTTATTATCAGATCAGATCTTGGCTGCCTTTTAGGACAGGGGCAAGATGTACGTTAAATTTATCTCAGAGTTGTGTGTTATTTCCACTCCGTGGGCAATTACTGCCTGAGATTTTAATAGACACTCCGGAGTCGGAGCCGAGACAGCTTGTACGACTCTGACTCCGGCATCGACTTCTGACTCGGTGCCACGACATGACTCCATCTGACTCCGGCTCCGCTTCCAACTCCGACTCCGAACTCCTGCATGACACACATACGTTTAAGCATAAACGCGCACCCTTTGAGATATTTGCCCTCGGGTCAGTGTTCATGCTGAGATCCGCTAACACTATTCGCCCTCTGTACAGCTGATTACTTATAAAATGCCATTCGGTAACATCAAATTTATACTCGCAACTAATCATTCAATTTTACTAAGCTTACTAAACTTCGCCTTTCCTGAGGAGCGACAAGGGCAGTCCAAAGTTTTCGACAGTAAAGCTGTACCGTAAGACGGCATTGAAACAAAGTAGTACTGTGACACTACAAAGAGACGTACCTATAGAATTCGATCCAAGTATGGATAAGAAAATAGATATCGAGCGAGAACACAAACATTCTCTTTCGCAATGCCGAAATCAGATATCTGAAGCAATGCAGAAAGTGCGGATGCCATACTGAACTATTCTACGAGGGGAACACTAAAACACATAACACCGCTAAGAGGGGCATTACAAAAAGAAGAAGCCACCTGCTTCAAGATGGCGGCCGCCTACTCACCGAGCGCATTCCCGGGGGTCCTCGGTTGGCAGGGGCGGCCTGCGGCGCCATTGGTGCGGGCTGCGGCGACATGGGCGCCGCCGGTTTGGGAGCCACTGGAGGCGGCACCTTGGTCTGCTGCTGCGGAACGATCCTGGGTGCGTGCACGCTCGTCTGAGGAGCCCCGTGGCCGTCAGCTGAAATATGACGTCATTGGTTATGGCCCCTAGTATTGGCGACGTCACTGGTAAAAGTGCTGTCACAATTTGGGGATGTGTTAACGAGTTTATGATAATAGGATATAAATAGACGTCAGTTTGGGAATTTTTAAGTGGGATGAGGCTTTATTGTGCTAAACATATTTGTGGGAAGTTGTACATAATTGTTAGCGTTAAATTATGTCACATCACCAAAATTGAATGTTACAACGTCAATGTTAGCGTTTAAGAACAATATAAAATTGTAGTAAGAAATGATGCATCTAAGTAGCGTAGCGTTCTGTAATATGCATTTCCGTTTGATATCAGTTAATCGTTAATGCTTGCTCACTGAAGTGTGTTTCGAGAAAAATCATGAGCATACGTATAGCGTCAAAAAAGATAAGTCATGTTGAGAGAATGATGGGAAGCTTAAACATTAAGAATGCTTGTAGGTTTCGAATCAGATGCTCGAGTTCATAAATATGCATGCAAAACAGTGGGCATCGCAAACTCGGAAATAGAAGCCACAAGCAAGTCCTATTGAGACAGCAGGTCTCGAGAAGGAAAATCAAATGCCGTAAAGCAGTGATATAACATGCAAGCTACACAAAAAAGGAGCATGCATGGTAGGATTAGGAGTTCCATGTGCTTATTTGCAATGTTTCAAGCTATTTGAGTCTCCACAGTCTATGTCTCTCAGGAAAAATTAACGGTATAGACATTATGTAGGTAGATAATCATCATTGCCCTGGATGTATCGTTGTTAAATAAGGAAATCGTCCTCAGTTCTTTCTTTAAACCAAGCGGTATCTTCGAACGCCAGCAGCGCCCTCTATACCACCACTTCGCTGACACCTATCGGCGCCGCTGCGAACGTCTAATACTCACGTTTGACCATCAGTGACCGCATACTGCGCGATTTGATGGAGTTTAGCCCGCTGTAATCAGGATCTAGCGGAGCGGAGTCGACAGCCTCCTCCGGCGGCTCTGCGTGCGACTGCGGGTTCTGATCCATGTCCTGGACCATTTTCAGGACCTCAGACATGTTGCCGTCGTATTTCTTCTCGTTCTTCTTGAAGTCGACGCTGCAGAGGCAGCGGGCGAGGTGTGAACGGCCGACGGGCGGGTTTGGAGAGGTGTGAACGGCCGACGGGAGGGTTTATGGAGGTGTGAACGGCCGACGGGCGGGCTTGTAGATGTGAGGTGTTAGGAAAGTGTGTTGAGTGTAAACAGCCCATTGTAGAGTTTTTAGAGGTGTGAACGACCAGTGGGTGGCTTTGTAGAGATGTGAACGGCCGACGAGCGGGTTTGGAGAGGTGTGAACGGCAGCTGCGCTGGCTCGTAGATGTGAGTGGTGTTAGGGAAGTGTGTGAAGTGTAAGCAGCCCATTGTACATATAATTTTTAGAGATGTGTACGACCAGTGGGTGGCTTTGTAGATATGTGAACGGCCGACGGGCGGGCTTGTAGATGTGAGTGGTGTGAGGGAAGTGTGTGGAGTGTAAGCAGTCCATTGTGGTCTTTAGAGGTGTGAACGTCCATCCAGTGGGCGCGTTTGCAAAGGTGTGAAGGGTCAAGCAGCGGGTATATATAGAGTCTGGTTTAACCCGCGCCCCGTAGGGCTACCGGCGGACCCTACCACCCGTAGGGGGGTCGTTTCGGCCCCCCCCCCTAAGATCTCGGAAAGTTACCGGCCGATTTTCAAAATTCAAACGGCGTTTGATAGCCCTACCCGGGAACTACCTTGTGACCAAATTTCATTGACCTAGGTCAAACCGATGACGTCACAGGTCAGGTCAAAGGTCAGATTTTCACCGTTCACAGGCAATTCAAGAAATGTGCTGTGAAATCGAGTAAATTGGTAATTTATTGAAAACCATCGATGGTATATTGTTCGTCAAACACATACTTTGCTATCTGAGGTCACTGATACCAGGTCAGGTCACAGCGAGGTCAGGTCACCGGGGGTCACAATATGAATGTGTCGTGTGATACATGTTTTATGGTCCATTTTACATGACAAATGCGATTATGTGGGTTAGGCAGCCTTTGGGGCCAGCCTAGGTCACGTTTTGGTGAAGGTCAGGTCAAGGTCAGGTCAAATTAGGTCAAATTTCAAAGTTGATATTTTTCATAAAATGGGTATCCATTCGATGCAGCTCGTCACGGGGAGTCTAATGGTGGTCTTTGTTTTGCTCTACAAGTTCTAGAATTGCCAAAAATTGAGTTTGAAAATTTGACGTCATCATTTTTGAACAGTTTTTTCGCTATACCTTGGCCAAAAAACGAGGTATCGATCTGAAATTTGGTATGTAGATAGAAGACGGTAGGTACTATCACATATATTCCGGTTTTTTCGAAACTCAAAAAACTTTTTGGATTTTTTGGCTAATATATCAAAAAAATGCTTTTTTGATTTTTGGGGATCAAAACTCAAAAATTTCAAAAATCCGAGATAGCAGTTTTGTAGCCCTGTCAATTCTACACCTTTTATGTCTGAATCATTTTTCTATATCTTCAAAGCTGTAGGCCTGACAGGTCTTCTCGCGAAGGTCTTTTTTCGGTCGAAAATGACAGAACATGACGTCACTCTGACGTCATTTGTGGCCAACCTATCACAGCCTCTGGAAAATTTTTGGTCACAATGTGTAAAATTGATGCCCGGAGGGGTCCTGAAAGTTTGGTGGCGATATCTCCAGCCGTTTAGGAGATATCGACCGAAAAGGACAGGGGGGGCCGTTTCGGCCCCCCCCCCCCTACGGGGCGCGGGTTAAGGAAAGTTTGTAGAGGAGTTAATAGCCGATGGGCGACTTGGTAGAGGTGTGAATGTCCACCGAGCAGGTTGAAGGCGATGAGATCGGCCAGTGGGTGGTCTCAGGTCTGGCAGATGTGTGAGCGTTTCCTTGCTTGCTTTATTTAAAAATAGGACTGCAAGGCTCAGATTGGCAATCCAACATTAGAATTCGTTTGAAAAGCATCGCTAAGATTTCAAGAACATGAGAGGAGATGTAAATATTGCCATTATGGTCAGAGCCTTGACAAGATCCTAAGCAAGTCGCGATCGAAGAATAATATGAAGAGCATGGACTCGGCAGAAACGCCTGCAGACTGCGAAGAAGTTGTGCCTCTGTTTCCAACTTAACAACCCAAAGTATGACAAACGAAGAGAACGAATATGAAAAAGTATTTTTATGATTCCAGGAAAACCATTACCTGGGATACATAAGCAAATAAATACCCGTAAGGCGTAAAACCAACGTATTTGCTTCCACGTTTACTAGTGTATTTAGTTATAAATGCGTATTTGTTATGCACGTTTATCCCCACATATGATCAATATGCTGTCGGCAAAGTCAACGAAGCGAGGAAACGCATCAATAATCCAGTACGAGCTTCTGGAACGAGAAAGAACAGTATACCCGGAATAACAGGCAAATAGCATCTTTATTGTTCGGCATGTTGCTAGAAAGCAGAAAAGGCGAATTTGGACTAACCGTCGTGAGCTGCAATGGATATTACAAGCCGGCAGAGCAGCAAACCCTGCGGATGCCAGCTTTTCCTGGGTGCCCTTTCCTTGAAGCGCAAATGAATGCTTCATTTCATACCAACATGTGTCGCACATTCAGCCTAAAAGCAAAAATGTCAGCACTTGCACTACTTCAAGTGAAATCCGACATGAGAAATGACCGTCGAAATTAGCAGCCACGATCCCCGCCAAGTTCCTTCATTCCACCGGTGCTCCGGGCCAACCATAGCGCTGAGGGCTGGACATCTGGCCCATAGCCACAGCGGGTACACGGGCAGTGGTGATGCAAGGCCGAGGAAGCGGTCTTGCCATGGTGTACGAAGACATGAGTTGAGGGCAGTTACAACCGTCAAAAATGCATCACTTTATACACCGTATTCGATGTTGTCCATAACAACATAGAATATAATATGATATAACATTTTTATTTGACTGTAATTTTCATGGCAAAAAAGGACAATCAAGCTATCGATCATCATCCTAGCACTAGTGTTATCTACTGAATGTAGTTTTACGAAAAGAAAGAAAGAAATGAAACATTCAAACTTCGAGATCCCGATCTGATTCCATTAGGTTCACTTTCAGGTGACTCGCATTTCATTGAGTCTGTTTCTGAAAGAACCCACTTTCTATAGGCATGCCTTACTCCGAGAATAAAATGGGAGCAAGGAAATCCCTTGCAGCAAGCCTAAAAATAATACATAAAGTCTACTACAGTCTAACTCCGCACAAGGGTGTTCATTGACTCCGCCAGACCAACACTACCTCCCCGTCCCAGACTGTCTTTGACAGTCCCAGCTGAGGGAAGGGAGAGGAGGAGGGGGGAGGTTGGCACCAGAGGTCAGCGTCTGGCGACCGACCAGGCTGATGACATACAGTGGACAGAGGCGGTCTCAGGTCGGTGATATAGGCGGAGCAGAGGCGACTCCAGGCCAGTGATGTAGGAGAGCACAGGCTATTCCAGGTTCATGAGTAAGACGCCACGTCAGGGTAATTTTAAGTTACTGATATACGGAGGAACAAGGAAGAAACCATCTCAGTTGATAGGAACGAGTCGAGATTTGTTCTTTTTATCTGCAAAATAGTTCAATCAAAAACAAACCCAGATTCGCAAATGGATAGGTCAAGCGCTGCTGTGGCACGTTGGTCAACCGCTGATTACCCTTGCCCGGCCCGACATATTCAAATGTCGGCGCCAAAATTTATATCGTAATGACTTATTTTGATCGGCAAAGTGGAGTGTTTCGGATTGGACCAGAGACTCGTTTGGAACATGGGATGCGAGGTCGACATCCGAAGGCATGTGTGACCTCACCAACCATCCACGTTGAATATCACCATGACACAAGTTGTGATTTACGCTGCCTAAATGGTTTTCTGTTTTGAAATTACGCTCACTTTTCACCCATTTACCGCCCATTGGCTCCCCCCGCGGGGAGTAACTGTGCTTGTTTACCAAACACCATCCAGCGTACGATGTTTTTAATTCAAACAGTTGACAAACGTTGTAGCGCGTCCATCATAGGCGCTGGCATCACCCCCAAAGGCGTCAGCTCTGGCGGATCTGGCACCGGGGAGGTATTTTCCTGGCAGAGACTCCGTGGTGGCTGTCGGACCGTGGCTATACGACGACAGGGACGTCGTCCACCGCCAGAGCAAATGTCAGAGAGTTTGGAGACCTCGGAGGTATCTACATCCGCCGTGGATGTTGGAGCGAGTGAGGAGGTTTGGGAGCCTCTGTAATGACCTGCTTTCTGTAACCGCCAATCACGAAGGTCACGCTGGAAATATCAGTACCTCAGGGTTGTGGGACCTTAGAGACATCTCAACCAAGACGTTCTCAAAACTGTCAACCTAATATATTCCTGAACCCTATCCCCACTTCCTCTCAGCGGCAAAATATATACATAAACATAAGAAAGGTTGAGAACCGAGGAAGCCATCTAGTTAAATTCGCCAGTGCATGCCAAAGGCAGTCTCTTGTGTAGATTTCCTTGGAATAATCCATGATATCTGGCGACTCCAGTTCTGGTAGACAGCTGTAATGATCCCAATACCTAAAGGAAAACGAGCTTCTGGAAGAAGCAGCTTGCCATCCATCATCTTATATTCGATAAGATAATTCAAGGATATCACTCCTGTAACTCGATGTCGTATGCTCGAGCAAAACGAGTCAGAAAAGAAGACGTAGGAAGTGAAATAAGCGAACCGAAACAGATGCGGACAAAATCTAGAACATCATACAACAGTGTGGCTTGAATTTTCAGGATGCTCGCACGTTCTGAAGACGAGGTGACCAACGAAAAAAAAAACGATGCAATCTTCCTTTTCCATCAGTTTTGCTGCGCTTGACCGCCATATACTTTTTCCTGGTCATAACACCGAAAGTGCAAACCTCTGAAAACGGCAAGAACAAGAAAGAAACCGGAAAAATTACATAGTGTATTCTAACGTCTGCTCATTCATGCGTGACCTAGGCATCGTCTTTTTGTGCGCTATATGGTTCCATTGTGCCTATGGTAGGTACATCTGCGTTTACTTGCAAAAAGAAGAAAAAATAATGCATTGAATGTTTCGTTGCTGATCACTTACTGTCTCAAAATAAATGTAAGAGGATCCCTGTCCTGTTTGAGGATAGTAGGCATTTCGGGCTTGGGCATAGTAGGCACTAGACAACTACCCAAAATAGACAACTACAGGGCAAAAGCAGCACTAACTGGAGACTAAAGGGCTGCCGTCCAACAAGGTGACGTTGCAACTAGGTGTACAAAAGAAGCAACCTAAGGACAGATATGACTGGATAATGGATATCTCTAATGCACGAGAAAAGTAAATGAGGACAGACCTAGAAAAGGCTCGGAAATGCTTGCCTTCTAAGCAAGCTATGTTGGCTTTGAGATTCTCGTTCGAGTTGCATCTGAAGAGCCATCTTTATGACATGAGACTGTCAAATAGACCCCCGGAGTCCAAAGACGCGTATAAACATGTGAGAAAATATTTTACTTTACCTTATATTAAATTATGCAGCTGAAATTTCTAGATAACAAAGTTTTACCCACTAATAAGTACCAATGTTTGCGCACTATTCAGTGCCTACATCTGTAGGGAACATGATTAAAACAATGAGCAGTGATGATTCCGTTTTAGCTCATAGTTTTGTGTTTCACAATGAATATAAGACGACTTCTTCGTATTTTTCATTTTTCAAGTAGTTGCCGGCTGTCGCGTTGTACAGCACAAAACCGACGCGACTACGTTTACGCCAAGGCATCAATCATTTAGGGGATGTAACACGGGTAAACGTCAAGAGGGCGACTAAGGGCATAGCAGTAGGGTCACTCAGATAACCACACGAAAGCAGCGCTTCCAGGAAAGCCAAGGCAACCGAAAATGGACGACTTCTGCTGCGGCACGGAGGCGAGTCTACCCAAACGTGACGTCAGAGGACCAAAAATCGGCGGCGGGTGGTCTCAAGGTCGACTGGCTTATTATCTTCCGCTTGGGTATTTTACGCATGGCATTGTTGATTACATATGATAAGAAAGAAAAATATTATTAAGCACACTAAGGCGTTGCTTCAGCAAGGATCATCAATTCCGATGATTATTATCGATGTAAACTTTTGGCAACATACCGTGCTCGGTTAGAAGAATCAATAATTTCTTAATTCGAATAAATTGCTATATAAATAAATTCGAATGAATTGCAATGCAAATGACACACTTGGCAAAGCTAGAACAAATTGGCAGACTGTGACGCCTGAAAAAAGAGGAAAAATTCGTCTCCAATCATAGCGCCAAATGTCTGTACGGAGACCACTCGCCGCCTCTGATTGGTCACTGGACGCGCGACCTTGACCGGGTCACGACCTTGAGCTGGGCCGCCGTCTGCGTCATCGCCGTGGATCATCTTGTATACGGCCGACGAGGTGGGCTTCCACGGCTGGGGTTCGTAGCGTTTGAAGTTGACGCTGTATGAACGTGGTACGGTTCAGCCGAGGTTACCAGAGTTGGTTTTGAGTTGTTTATGTGTTGCGGGCGCAGGTTAAATGGTGGTGTTTGAACTATGCAGATAGCAGTTTATTATCAACGAATAATTTACGTAGAACGGGAAACAAGTCCTTAAAATCTATGTGAAATAATGGAACAAACATTGTCTTAAAATCATCTTTTTATCTGAACTTTTATTGTTTTATTCTATCTAAATCATTCAGAAAACATAATCAATATAGTACACCAGTAAAGATAACGTCATTTGAATACAATGCATAAACAGAGAAGTAATCATGGCAGGGAGAGAATTCCAAGTCCTCTCGCACTGAAAACACCAATGTCTGAAGTTGACGCTGTATGAACGTTTGGTATACTGGTCAAGCAATATACATTGAAAAGGGCAATATCGATATGCAGTCATCGTTTGTTCCTATTAGCCCCTACCCAATTCTACCCGATTCTACCGTCTGATTCTACTCACCCCAGCGCTCCACCGGCTAGCACCTCTGTCTGCGCGGACAGGGTCTCTGCGATCTTCTCTTCCGAGTAGAGTGGCATCGGCGAGTTGAACTGGTTGTGGACCAGCGCCTTCACCGAACCGTCTGCAGTGTCCACGTTCTGGGGGTTGATAATAGATGTCAGCACTGTCTACAATATATGTCAGTATGGTCGGCAATAGATGTCAGCAAGGTCGACAGTAGATGTCAGCGTGGCCTAAATACAATAGATATCAGCGTGGTTGACAAGAGATGTCAGCGTAGTCTACAATATTATTTCAGTGTGATCGACAATAGATGTCAGTGCGGTCGACAATAGATGTCAGCGTGGTCTGCAATATATGTCAGTACGGTCTACATTATATGTCAGTACGGTCTACAATAGATGTCAGTGCGGTCTACAATAGATGTCAGTACGGTCTACAATAGATGTCAGTGCGGTCTACAATAGATTTCAGTGTGGTCTACAATAGATGTCATCGTGATCGACAATATATATCAACATAGTCTAAAATAGACGACAGCACGGTCTACAATAGATGTCAGTCTGGTCTACAACTGATGGCAGTGTTATCGACAGTGGATGTCAGTCTGGTTTGCAATAAATGTCAGTAGTAGTGCGGTTTACAATAGATATCAGTACTGTCCCCAATATATCTCAATGTGATTGACAATAGAAGTCAGCATCGTTTACAATGGATGTCAGTTGGGTCTACAATAGGTGTATATAGTGTGGTCTACAATAGATGTGATCAACGATAGATAGTCTATAATAGATGACAGCACGGATAGAACGGTCCTCAATAGATGTCAGTACAATCTACAATAGATGTCAGTGTTAGTCAACTGAAAGACGCCAGCACAATTGTCAACAGTATAGTGTCAGTTCTGTCGACAGAAAACATTTTAATGATAAGGTATCCACTTGATGGATGCTCACTACATATAGGTACTGAAATTAGGAACTGTAGTTGAGTTAAAAAAGGCAAAAATGAGTAACGCTCAATTGGTGTCACTTATTATCATTATCATATATGCAAACAGATGTAATATCTAGTGCAGAGCTTGCATATACCATGCCCCTACTTCAAATATGGGTAGTAAGTATATGGCAAATAGGAGAGTTTATTTTGGCCATGTCTTATGAATGCTGGGATTGAGAACGGTAGCGCTACACAGCATTTCTGTCATACATTGGTGAGGCTATCTATTCTTCCATAACACCTCATCCACCAGCCAACTTATCAGAAATCCGGAACATTCCCAGTTTCCTGATCAAACCAAGATAGGGGACTGCTGTTTCAGTATCAAACAGCACAAACCCCCGACTGTCTCTGCGCCAAGCTAACACAGAGAACGCCTGTTTGTATGTTTGTGCGTCGCTTTGATGACCTCTTGCGATACCCCGGATTTGGCTGCTAAGAGAAAGTTTGAGCGACGAATAAATGGTTCACTCATGTTGTTTTCTAGGCATTCGAGCTAAAACGCGCTGTTTCGGCTGAAACACGTGTACGTACCTACGCATGAAGGGAGCTAGTTAGGTACAGTATGCAATGCACGGTAAAATGCATTTTTGGTTACTACAGTTCTGGTTACCGTAAGCAATTATCGTACTTACCATAGGCATTGGAAAAGTTTCATACCGAAACACACAATCGTCAGGTGTCATGCAGCAAAAAACTTGTTTATCAGAAAGGTTATCAATATAATAAGAGTTGCCGACGTATCGGAACTAGGAATCCACACATTCAGAAACCAGAAATTGGCACCACAAAAAATGTGGTAGCCTGAAGAGAAGAGATCCACTGAATGCTTCTGAAGATATTAGAGAAGGGAAGGCAAGCAGCGATAGAACGACAGGAAAGGTCTCGTACCACACCACACAGAAAACAGCGCCGGCAGCGCCGCCACGCGGTGACCTAGTGAAACACACGTCATTGAGCTGACCTTGATGACCCTGAACGGGTTCCTGTTTCTTGGCGGCTGAGTCGGCTGTAAGAGCGGTCAGCCAATCAGAACGGGTGCACAAAGCCAGCGACCAATCAGAGCTCAGGGCGAGTTAGACAGGCGGCCAATGAGGGTGGGTGTACAGAACCAGCGACCAATGAGCGTTCAGAACTGGTTAGATAAACGAACGACATGTAGCCAAATGGGTATCATCGTTCCGTTCATTTATGTCTGTCTTTTTGGCGGGTTCAGGAGGAATGGCTGCCGATCAAACAAGCCCTGAACAATGATGACGTAAGCAGCTGACGTCACAGACACACAATGGCGGGTTGGGTGCCGTCACGTACGAGAGAAAAAGTGAACTTGATCGCAAATCATCCATGGATATTCTAATAAAAAACAATTATCATCGGTTTTTAGAACACATATCTAGGCATGAAATTAAACAAAACGGCATCAAAAATGAAAGCAACTATCCGCTTCAAAATGCATGATTAAATCAGGGAGGACATTTTGCTTTCTAAATACACTACCAAGCAACAGTGATTACAGCTAAATCGGCTAAGCCATTTGACGCACACAAGACAACAACAAAAAGGGGCGGGTGATTACTCTAGGTCGGAGACTAGGTTCTAGGTAGTCTAGTCTAGGGGCAGAAGAGACTACAAAATACACACTCACTATCCAATTCACACAAGCACAAACATACGCAACGTATCTGCAGGAACGAAAACGAAAAACCTCACGAAAAGCTGCGATCAAGTCCCCATGCCAAATGCTGTCTGCTATAAAGTGCTTAGCGAAATCATAAGATCATCCGAGTAAACTGGATTGGATCAGGAAATCCTATAAAATCACCTCCCGGCGCAACGTTGCATTGCTGGATACAAGGCCAATAAAGTCGTCACATGTTGGAAATGCCTACTGGACAAAACAGAGCCAGGACGAAGATCCCGACCTGGCCGTAAACTGCTCGAGGGATCCGCCTATTCTAAAGACCAACTGCATAATCCAAGCACTCAGTTTTAGCAGCAACATAAAAGGAGAGGTAGGCACGGTTGAAGATCTAAGAGAGACATGACTCCTTAGCTGCGCATGTTAACCCAACCCACTAACTGCAAGCAATTATAACACTTCTGAAGAAATGCATCGAGAGCTGAAGAAAGTAGCTCCCCTGGGTGCAATGCATAGAACTTAGAAGTTTAAATATTTCCTGCATGAAATACTAATACTATGTATATCTGAATCAGCCTCCATGCGTGCGAAGAGTCTACCGAATACCAACAACCACTGAAAGAAAACATGCTTCCAAAAACCCTGCAAGCTCCGCTAGCGGGAATGTTTCGACTCATCTTCCTCCTATTACGTCACTAACTGCCTCATATGACGTCACTAAGTATCGTACCATGTGCACGGGAGTTTGCGGCTTGTTCTCTGGTTTCTGCTGCGGCTGCGCTCCAGGCCGCGTGCCGGAACTGTCCGAAGAGTCCTATACAAAGTGTAAATATGAGGACCACCTCTCGCTCACACACACACACACATACACACAAACACGAACGCAAACGCAATCACACGCAGGAGCATAAGGTGTAGGTAGCGTCTGTTCTGTATTGATCTAGCTGTGATGCGATCCATGAGCAGCGGTAACATGAAGTCGAAGCCGGTACGGAGCTGGTGCAATTTACCAGGAACCGGAGCCATTGAAAAACGTATGTAACCAGAGGTCATACAGTAAAAATGACGCTTCTAGGGATCCGTAAGACGAAAAAATTTCATCTTCATGTCCGATAAAACGATGACACATGTACCAGCTTGTCAAACAAAAATTACTCTCAAATTGTGTGCTTAGAACTTAACGAAATTATCATCATCATGAACTGAAGAATCAAACGAACTCCTTAGTCATTCAGCATCGCCTGATGAATCATAAATGTTTTGTAAGTACTCACTTAGCCCATGCATGATCAAACTTAGGAATTATATTGTGATGTGGTCTTTCTCCTGAATTGTGACCGAAGCCGTGCCCCCACATGTGACCTGAACTGCGACCTGAGCATTGACCTGTGACCTGACCTACCTTGGGCATAGGCTGCTGCTGGGCGGCGCCCGGGGGACGGAGCGAGGCCAAACCTCCCCTGAAACACGCAAAACACGCCGTCAATGAATGAATGAATGAATGAATGAATGAATGAACGAATGAATGAGTTAATTAATTAATTAATGAAAAAATGAATGAATGAATAAATAAATAAATGAATGAATGAATGAATGACCCAAAGAATACATGAATGAATGGGTGAATGTATGAAAGAATGAACGAAGGAACAACCGAATGAATAAATGAATGAATGAATATGAATGAATGAATGAATGAATGAATTAATTAATTGATTAATTATTGAAATATGTTCAAGGGGCAAAAATTCAAGGGGCAAGAATGTTAAGCTCATTTTTGCCCATTACCTGATCCTATTCTCCACATAACCTGCCGTTTTCTGCCTATCAGCCAAGAAAAGACTGGTGTTGATTGCAGTCCGATTATAAGCAGAAAAAAGTGGATAAGATTAAATGATGACAGGGTGATTGAAAAGCTATGAAAGTGATTAATTGGTCTTTAGTGAATGTGGTTAATCAACTGATGACTGACTGATGAGTTATTATATGAGGCGCTTGACTGACAAATGTTGCTGATGGTTTTGTGAACATCAATGTCAGCTTTACTTGTTGTTGATTAACGAGGTTATGTGATTGCAGATTCAATTGTTATTGATTGACAATGGAATGTGACTGACAGGTGGCCCGACAGCAGTACGACAATAAACAAACCTCACGATAAACAAACATCACTGACTGGCCAGCAGACGGGGCGAAACGGCAACAAACATTGATCACACATCATCAACAAACACTGATAACATATCACGTCAGCATCAGCTGTAGAAACGGCAGTTCGAGGCGAGGCTTAAACAGCCAAGTCACAGACAGATGCCGTTTCAATGCCGGTCATGGCAGCGCACTGCTTTTCACAAAATTTCAGTGGTTGCATGATGCCAGTAATGTAATGTGTCTTGCATAACTGAGGATATCAAGAAGAGACGCTTGCCAAACAACCTATGCCGCCTATCAACTCTGACCTCCCTCAGCCTGACGTGGCGTCCGTGACATATGTCTAATATCGTGTGTTGGCCCTCGACAGTCACAGTCAGCTAACTGCTGACATATGACGTCATATGTCAGTCAGACGACCTGTCAAATGGCTGACCCCGATACCGGAGTAGTCCCTTCTGTCATGACCAAAGGACAAACCTCGAGCTGAGCGAGATTTTTTTTACAGGACAGCTGATAGAATACAGATCAGCAGAAACGATTCATGGAAACGATGATCGATTATTTTACTTTTTAAGCGTTAGAATATGTATGATAAAAACTGCTCTTTGGGTTATGTGTCCTTATTTGTTCTGTATTATCTCACAAAATACCTGACGATGATCGGCAGGTAATACTTTATTTAAAAAATCGGCGGATTACTTTGGAAGTGAGATGTTTACGACATTATTTGAAAAAAGATTGTGGAAATGGATTGAACAGAACTGATTGGAAGGAGACAAAATGAAAAGTACCCTCGTAAATAAATCCGCAACATGAAAAGTAACCATGTAAATAAATTGGTCAACATGAACTTTAAAATAATCATCAAATATTTTTTCATTGACTTAAAAAACCATTGGCCATTGCAAATAGTTGGCTGAGGAATAAAGACACCAACCAATGTAATAAAGCCCGGAGAGTTTCCTCTCAGCCCCAGCGATCATCCCCATACACTTTGCTGAGCAGTGAAGACACCAACCAATACAAAGCCCGCTAAGAATCATTCCATCTCACCCCGGCTTTTATCTCCCTCCCCCTCCCCCAAACTCACTCCTCCTCATGGTGAGAAGGTGGCGGAGTGGGCGGCTGTGGCGGCGGAGGGGACGGTCCGCAGGGACCCGCCGCCCGGGGCCTCGCCGGGCCCTGCTGGGGGCGGTACCGGTCCCGCACACTCAGGTGGCACGGGAACTTCATGGCGCGTCACACACGTTTCTCTCTGGCTGTTTCCGTCCGGGTTTCGTCTTTTTATGAGAGTTTTTATGCAATATTTATAATCCGGGGTCAGGCTTCCTGGTATAACCCTATTCCTGGCGGGCTCCGCCGGGACAAGAAACTGGCGGGGGGGGGCCGATTCGGCCCCCCCCCTGAGATCTCCAGAACGAAGCAAGATAGCGACAAGCGGTAAACGGCATCGGATACGCACGGCCAAGATCTACAATTTTTACTAAGGTCATTTTCAGGTCAGGTCAAAGATGACGTCACAGGGGTCGAAAAAGTCAAAATGGCGGCACTAGATATGGAGAGAGTTTTTCTCGAATAACTTTCGAATTAGTCAAGATAGGAACAAACTAAGGGCATCATCGTGATCCTCTCGTCAATCCGCATCGAATGATATATATGTTGACCTCGAAAGGTCAAGGTCAAAGGTTGACCTCAGGTCACGTGACCTCGAGGTCATCATGTATATCATTCGATGCGTCTTGACGAGCTGAACACAATGAGACCATCCACGCGTCTGTATCTTGTTCCTGTACGGAGTTATTGGCCAAAAACCTTTGGTGACCTTTGATGACGTCACATGACCTCACAGCTGCCCAACAGCAAAACAGACCTCAAGGTAGTGAAGGTTGATCGTATATGAAGTCATGTATGGTATATGGAGCCATTCCGACCCGTTTTAGTGGTAAAAACAGGGAGTTGATTTTTCCCCCATTGACTTATAATGGGGAGGTCGCGAAATTGACCTGACCTTAGGTCACCGATATCAAAATTCCGAGATATACAAATTGCACATACTGGTACCCTAACTAAACCCTGAAGAGAAGAAATTGATCGGTCAAAAACTCTAGCTCTGGCGTGATTGCAAACTTTTCTGAGGTAGCGTCACCAAACCGCCTCTGGTGACCTGACCTGAGGTCAGATCAACTCAAAATTTTCAGACATGTTGCGTAGAAGCCTTTTAGGAAAAGTCAGAAAATTTGAGCTTCCTAGCTCAACGCGTTTGGGAGATATAACCAAAAAACCTCAGGGGGGGCTCCTGAGGCCCCCCCCCGCCAGGAATAGGGATAAGAGATGCACCCGTTTCCACCAGCTACGCAAAATCCAGGCTGCGTCCACCAGTCTTACTCTTCAACACTTCTCGCTATGTTTTGAAGATGATTTTCTTCGACGTTTGTCCCACTCTCTCTCACTCCCCGTCCCCCTCCCCGCTCTGGGGTTGAGACCCCTATCAATGACCTTTGACCCCACACTCGCTCAGCCGTCTCTCTTCCAACACCTCTGCGCAAAGACTGCTGCCGTCAGCTGGCGGGGCCGTGTCTACAGTGGCCCCCCTGCCCCCCCCCCCCTCTGGCCAGGGCAGGTGACATAAGGTCGTCTCTGAAACGCTGCCAAAACGGCGCGTCGGAGACGTCTGACCAGCGGAAATGGTGATTTGGTGGGATGTGCGGTTAGCTGCCAACGAAAATTAACTCGGATGGACGCGGCGGCGGCGGCGGCGGTGGCGGCGAAAGGGGGACGGGGGGCGCTGGTGGGTGGCGGTGGTGGTGGTTGCGGGGGTGGTTGTGGTGAAAGTAGTGGCCGAAGGGGGGAGAACGCAACCACCATGGCGGTGACGGCGACGGCTCTGGTATATGTATGATAAATTAAGTTCGGCCCTCCAGGTATTAAGTGGTTTGTTGCCGGCATCACAATAATCGGTCTGCATTGATGAATACCTCTAAGGGTAAGGGCTGTTAAAAATATGTTGCGGAAGAGTCCGCACGCAACCTCATCTCATTTCTATTCTGTCATTTTACTGGAGTGTATGTCTCATTCAAAGCCGCTTTCCCAAAAACACATCAGCTGACCAACCACTCTTTTGCTGGGGGGGGGGGGGGGGGGTCTGTACATTTACCAGAGTGCCACAACCGGACACTTTCTCTGTTTATCAGCCGTTCCACTTTTAATGGCACAATCCGGCTGACGGTTCTCATGCCAAATGCCCTATTGTTTATGACTTTGTTATTTGCACCAAATTGTAGAGACAAGATATCTTGGCTCGCTACGCGTCGCGTTGGCCATAAAATGATTAAGGAGAAAATTTGGGACCGATTGGTGTTTGTCCCGTGTTGATCGGACGTCTAGAAGCTTAGATATTCGCGAAAAACTTGTTGAACTTGCCAAAATACCTGCCAGCTTGCTGTATCACCTGCTACTTGGTAATGTACTGAAAACTTGCTAATGTACTGAAAACCTGCCAGAAGCTTAGATATTCGCGAAAAACTTGTTGAACTTGCCAAAATACCTGCCAGCTTGCTGTATCACCTGCTACTTGGTAATGTACTGAAAACTTGCTAATGTTCTGAAAACCTGCCAAAGGTATTTACTTGCCTAAATACCGCAAAGAACTTGTTCTAAAATACTTGGTATTAACTTGCTTAGATACCGCGAAAAACTTGTAACTTTCTGACGTTTAAATCAGACGTCTTTAGACGACCAAAGATTGTGCGAATTTGCCTTGGTTTCAGATCGTTTTAATTACATGTCAATGAATTGTTTGCAATTTGAGTTAAGATTATTTCCACATCGAATACTGTTTCACCTACCTATCCGTTCTCACTTACTTTCCGCGTCCTACCTAATATGCAATTACACATACGTTGCGGGATCCGGTGGGTGCTTATAATGCAATACCCTGCACGGTGAACAGCTTGCGAGTTTTACAGCGGTGCGATTGCTGGGGCTTATCGCTGACTGAAAAGGGTAAATACAGTAAATTAGAGATATGTGTGTACGCAGATATCTCGCAGGCCCTAAGAGAAAAAGCTCGCTGCAAAAACTGAGCACTTCAAAAAACCCGCAAACCCACGAAAATAGAATAGTTATATTATTCAGAGCTCATACATTATAATTCAACGGCAGTGTGTGAAAGAAAGATATCGTGGAAATAGTTAGAGTGCCTAGCAAAGAAATGTTCGGTAATGTAACGAAACCATATATAGCTAAATAAAAAAAAAACTCAAAAGATCATGATAAAAGTAAAAGAGAAAACTTATCACTAGTTCGCCCACCAAAAACTGTTGGGTACATCTTCCCCTTGGATTTACATGGTGCCGGAAGGGAGACTGGCGTTTATCTCGAGTCGCGACAGAAAGAAGCTTGTCCGCCCGGTGTAGGTTTGGATTCCGGCCAGGGCTGTGGTCACCTATTTCAGAGGGTGCTGGCCTCTGATGAAGAGGTTTAGATTGTACGAAAGCTGTCAAAGCACTAAAGTTGTTGGTCTTGGAGCAATGTTAGTTTTACTGCAGCACAAAGATGCATTGACCATGCTTCTTGCAGCGTTGAATCTTTTAGGGAGTATTTATTTCATGCTACGGGAGCAGCAGCAGCATTATTTTATGCCGCAACAGCATTTGGGTGGTTTAACTGCAAATCACTTGTCTCTGGGCAATCATTAATTTTTATTCAAAAATGTATTTATTTTGTAATGGGATTCAGGCAGGCAAGAATTCATGACTGATGCCGTCAATTCTGAAAATGACACAGACTTGTATCTGCCTACTGTTGAGCAACTGCAGACCTTCTTAGCTATGCTCCGGTCGTGTTAGTGTGCGTTTCAAACGTTGAAACGTGATGACAGGTGCAGCCATATCGAAAAGAAACTACTCCGAGGTGTCTGGCTGGATGCTTTAGGTCAGGAGATTGGATAACTTATTTCAACCTTGACGGCACATTCTAATGCGTTTTCATAATTTAATGTCAAGGTAAGCGAAAGGAAATTAAAATTAACTATTCTGTCGTGACTTCACTGCCCTGATAGGTAATGGTTTCCCTCGCAACTTCTCTTGATCCATCTGATACACATTGACCCTACTGCTCACTGACGAATAAAAAAAAAGCAATCGGGTCGTTTGCCTCTCGCAGTGTCCGACATTGACGAAATCACGCCGTTTTCCTTGCATGCCTTATCCCTCGCCGGCCGAGGGGGGGGGGGGCGGGTGCCGCCCCCCCCCCCATAGGGTTTTTTCGCGATAGCTCCGAACACGCTGGCGATAGAGAGCTGAAACTTGGCATACCTGACCTTTGATCCAAGCCGGATCTTTTGACTCCAACCGAATTTTTGCGTCAGGTCAGGTCACTGACCTATGACGTCATAAGTGAACCTCTGCACGGTCTTCAGATGTCGCAACTTCGCAACGCCCTCACTGCCAGAGGAGATGTCACAGGGAAATGAAACTTGCAGGATCTAGTATCCATTATGAGTCCCACTACTTGTATATCTCGGATTTTTCCTAAAGGTCAAATGAGTTCAGGTCATTTTCGTGACCTCACCATTATAAGTCAATGGGGAAAAATGAAAACTGCTATTCTGGCGCCGGGAACGATCTCCAACTATCTCAAGCACACAGAATCGTGATTTGATGCACTCCTTGCAAGGTTAGATGCGTCACTTTTGCAATGTTGACCTTTCGTGACGTCATTTATGACGTCATCAAGGTCATATTAGTTTTTCGTCAATAACTCTTGATCAAATTGAGCTAGCGAGTCGGGAAAGCCACCAATGGACTCCGAAAATCGAATGATATGCGACATGACCTCTTTCGACCAACTTCGTGACCTGGGGGTGCTGACCTGACCTTGACCTGAGGTCAACACCCCAAGTTGACCTGACCCGGACAAAAAGTATATCATTCGACGCGCCTGAGCGAGGCGAACACGATGCTGCCAAAATCGGCGCTCTGCGGCCATTTTTTGCGAAGTTATTCACCAAAAACTGAACCGTACCTTGGGGCACTTGACCTGACCTCAGAGGTCACCGGTTGACCTAGGACCTTAAAATCGGGTACCAATCTCTGCGTCTCGTAACGGCGCACACGCTCGTTTTTTCCGCGACGCGCTAGCTCCACCAGGGGCGAAACGGCGAGGGGGGTCGTACCCCCCCCCCTCGGCCGGCGCGTATGTAGAAAACCAATAGGTCCGGCGAGG